GTATTTGGAGGGGGAACCCAGTGCATTTGCTGGAGATCCTAAAATTGTTCAATGATCCCCCCAACCTCCCCATTATAGAAACTCCCACTTCCCATACAAAAGTTTAGAAGGGACAAAGAGGAATCAAGGAGTTTTCCCTTTCCTTTCCTTCAATATTTTGTTCCTCAAGAGACCAAACAGCTGCCCACAGTAAATCCACAAGCAGGGCATGAGGGGCATCCCACCCTCTTGCCCATGATCCCCAGCAGCTGCTTCATTTTTCTCTTTGTGGGGGGAGGGACAAAAGTTTCCTTCTACCAGAGATTTTGCACAAATGACTTGCCCAGCACAAAACAACCCCCCCCAATATTGTTTAATTTGTATTGTTAGCTATGTATTAGCAAATTCAAATTCCCCAAACACACTTGTCTTTTTTCGAAGTCATTTTTCTGGACTTAGACTAAAGAGGTAAGTAATACACCAGGGGGAGCCCCTCCCTTGATCCCTTTTTTCTCCAGGGATTTATTCCCTATTTGGGGACAGAAACTGCTTCCACACAACATTCTGCAAACGTGCATTACCCCAAACAGGAAAAAAGCCTATCCTTTGCCCAAAATGCTTGCTCGTTTGCTATCTGTACAACAAACCAGATGTGTGCTTGAGAGTGCCATGTTTGTGTTCTGGAGCAGTTCTGTTTGGCTTGAGTGCTTATTTCCTTTTCAAATTTGAGAAACTGCTTCTCAATTCTCCAACTCATTTGGGGTACCATTCGCAAGGCTGGGGCGGGAGCACGGTTGGGTTCATCCATGCCATCTAGAAACTCCCCTTTTGTAGGCTTGAGAAGAGGGAAGCAAGAGCAGGGAAGCAAAGTGATCGGGTGGGGCAGAGAAAAAGAAAGATCGGGGATTCTGAGAGAAGGCAGGCATCCCATCCCTTCAACTCCAGAGCACAAAATATGAACCGCCCCTTTTAAACATCCAGCCTCGCTTTGTGAGGCCTCAGGACTTGCACAAGCACACATCTGAACAGGTGGGAATTAATATTCGCACCGGTCTTCGGAAGCCCCCACCTGCACGAAAAGCCCAGGAGACTCGCCCGGAGCCCCGGGGAGGGTGGACGCTTCGCAGGTGGGGGCACCTTCCTTTCTCCGGGGATATTTGGGGGGGGGGAGGGAGGAGCCTGGAAGGAGTTGGGGAATGTGCGGGGACCTCCGGCCACCCGCCCAGTCCATTCTCCGAGGATGATCGCGGCCGGGGAGGGGAGGGGAGCGGAGCGGCGGATTTCCCGCACAAGGACAACGCGGATCGCCCGCCGCGCCCCGCGCTTCCCCATTGCTTTTCCCGGGAGCGGGGCGGGAGCGGGAGGGGGCGGGGGCGCGTTTCGGCGCTGGGGGAAAGGGAAGCGCGCACGGCCCCCGATCGCCGCCCCGGCCGCCCCGCACGGCGCCGGCGGGCGATCCCGGCCCCGGCCCCCTCCCCCTCCCCGGAGGTCGCGCATCGCCCCCATTTTGAGGGGCTCTCCCCCCACATCAAGCGAGGCCTCGTGGGCGGGCCCTGGCGAGGCCCCACCCCCTTAAAGGGGAAGGCCGTCGGGCCTACCTGCGCGGCTCCGGGTCCCGTCAGCGCCCCGGTGGCGAGGGGAGAGGGGGCGTCGCCGGCGTCGGAGGGGGTCCGGCGGCTCCACAACCCCCAAGGCCCCTCTCCAGACTGCAGAGCGCCCTCCGCCTCCTCGGCCGCTTCCTGCTTCCCCCCCTTCTGCCTCCGGATTGGCGCGGCGGCTGCCACTCCGCGCGTGGCCGCCGGAGTCCGTCACGTCCCATTGGGCGGAAGGCACGTCGATTACGAGCGGAGCCCTCTCCCCTGGCCGGGGCTCGGGGAGGGTATTCCGCCTTCTCCTGGGTCGCTCCTCATTGGAGGCGGGGAATCCGAGGGGCAGAGCCGGGCCAAGCGTCCAGCTCCATTGGCTCGGAGACCTGCCGCTCAACCGCTCGGCCCGCCCCATCCGCTATCCATTGGTACTCGTTTCGTCGCTCTGGCCCTCGAGACGGGAGGAAAGTCTCGATCAGCTGGGAGAAACTCACACCGGCCCACGCCCATTGGCTAAGCTCGGCCTCATTTCCTGCGCTTTCTCCCCGACTATTGGCTCTACTGGATGTCACTTAACGTGCGGCTAAATAGCGCAATTCGGATGGCTGAAACCACCAGGAAGGCGGGCCTTCAATTTAATTGGCTGCCTGCCTGCCTGAAGGGGCATAGAAATTGCAGCAGGTGTTCCTCTGCTGAGGCGGCCAGTCGGCGAGAGGCCCGCCCATTAGCGCTCGCTGCGGCGAGGGGCGCGGCTCTGGGGGGGCGCGGCTCCCTCGCGGCCATCCCCATTGGCCGGGCGGCATTCCAACCGCAGGGTCCCGCCTCCGCCGAAGCTCTATTGGGGGCCGCCCCGTCGCTCAAAGCGCATCGCCCTCCTTATTCCTCGCCCGTATTATTTGCGTTTCTCGGCTCTCTCCAGCCTTTTTCTCATTGGCTGCGCGACTGATGGCTAGGCGGGCCGTTCAAATCCGTATTTCGGCACTTGAACGCACGCCGTCGATCGGGTCGAGGCGGCAAGCGGCGAAGCCACGCGTCCGCCTCCAGTCTCCCCCCGGGATAGCGTGGAAAAGGCCGTGCCGCAAGGCATTTCGGGATGCGGCCGCCCGGGCGCCGCGCAAAGGCGTCTGGGAAGAAAGGGGTCGCCTGGCGGGCGCAGGGGCTTTTGGGTAACGAGGACCTTCTTGGCGGCAGGGCGCAGATGCGGCCTGGTTTCAGTCATGCGATGCCCGAGTAGGCGGCCTCTTTGTATTGCACCAGGGAAGCGCCTGGCCAGAAGTTCACCATTACAAACATCAGGGGTGATGCGCCGGGCCGGGCTGACGGCGACCCTTCCGAGGGCTCCGCCTCGCCGGCTCAGGGCCGTGGCTTCCTTCACTGGCTCCGCCCATCACGGAGCTTTGGCCTCCTGTTTCTTGCTCTGCCTTCCACTTTCCCCAGCAGGATCGTCTTGCTTTCTTAGGATGTGACCCGAGTATTTATTTATTTATTTATATTATGATTTCTATCCTGCCTTTTTCCTACAAAGGGCTCAAGGCAGCTGACATCATCTCTCCTCCGTCTCATCCCCACAACAACAACCCTGTGAGGTAGGTTGGGCTGAGAGGCTGTGACTGGCCCAAAGCCACCCAGTTGGCTCCATGGCGGAGCGAGGTTTCGGCAAGGGGCGGCATATAAATGTTATAATAATAATAATAATAATAATAATAATAACCCGGATCCTCTGAGTCCCAGTCCCAGGCTCTTCACCACTACACCACACTGGCTCTCAATGTATGACAGCTGCAGTGCGGCCATTTTTTTCTAGGGAAGACTGTGGTTGGATTTGATGTCGGATCTGCTGGTTTGCTTTACTGTCTGTCATTCGGAAGTATACCTTTAGGAATGAGAGCTTGTGTGATGGAGGGTCGGGCACAAAGTTGCAAATAAATAAATTAACACCTAACCTACCTCACAGGGTTGTTGTGAGCATAACATGGAGGAAAGACGGGATTATGTAAGTTGCCTTGGGTTTCTCACAAAAGGGGAAAAGAGTGGGGTAAAATAAAGCAGCCGGTGTCTTGGATGTTGAGAAATAGCTATAAAATAGTGTCCAGGAAGCTTCAGCCGTGTGGCAGGATGGAAATGAAATAAATAAAATCCAAGGGTTTGGGCAGAATGGCTGCATACCTCAAGTGCAAAGCATGTAATTCCTTACAACAACCCTGGTAGGTAGGCTTGGCCAGTGGGGTGTGACTGGTTGAGAGCTGAATGCAGGTCTCCCTGGTCTGAGGTTGTGATCCTCAATAGCATTACTCGGGACTGTTCTGTCGGGTGGAGGAAAGTGTTGACTACTGTCCTTCAGTTTTGTTGAGTTACAACTCCCATCATCCTGCAGGAAGCATGGCAATGGCTATGTTGGCTGAGCGTGATGGGAGTTCTGCTCCACCACATCTGGAGAACAGCAGTTTAGGGTATGCTAAACTATATGCAGTACTTGGTTTCTGCTACAGAATTCGATGGGCTTTAAGTAAACATGACCAGGATTCCATTTTAAGCCCTGCACTATCAACAACCACTGTACTGGCTTTCTGTTGGAAAATAAAAATAAAAATCTAAATACAAAGATAGACAGACAGAAGGAAAGTATTCTATCAAGATTAAATTTCATTGACAAAGGGCAGTACAGTTAACATTTTTTCCTCTTTACAAGCAGAACATTTTGGTGGAATCCATGTGGCTTCTTGGAATGGTTCCTTTTGGTTCTTCATACTAATAAATTATATTCAGTCTTTTTCTAACAATCTGAGGAAAGGTTTTGATAGATGTTGCTGCTTATGTGAAATATAGTCATTTCATCTCTTCCCCCTCCATCTGTGAGTCAGGATAGGGGATAAAAGGATGTCTTGAGTGAATGGAATGGGTAGAAAGCAATGCATGATCTCCATGTTTTGAGGCAGTTAAGTGTCCCATATCTGCACCTTTTGGAGCAAAACTGAATGTTCCTGTGGAACTTCTAATTCCTTTGCTGAAATTAGTGGCTGATCTTGCAGGCTTGTGGGTCTCAGTTCACAGCTGTGACCACAGACTATCTGGAATCCCCACAAACCAGGAGGTCTGTTTAGAACAAGGTGGACAACTTCAGAGAGTAGGAGAAATGTTTTGCCCTCACCCTCCTGGAGCCAGATCACCAAATTTGCAGCGGTGAAGGCAAGAACCCAGTGATTTTGTAGGAAAACAAAGATGCAGGAAGAAAGGAAAGGGAAACATGCGCGCCTTCTCCTTGCAACATTCCTCTGGGTTTTGCTGCTGTGGTAAATTCCAATGATCTGTTATGTTTCCTACAGTCTAATAAAGGGATGCAAAGAGATGGCAGGGCAAGTGGAGGAAAACAATGGCATGATTTGAACGTACTGACAGCCTGTTGGTTTAAAAGCCGGTGGAGTGTCACGCGTGAGCATGGGCATTGCGGGTAGGGCACCTGCCTCTTCTGGTTTTTCTCAGCAACCTGCTGAGCATGACTTCCGAAACAAGAGCATTGGGTTATTTGGGGGTTGCACCTCCCACGGGTTTGTTCGTGGGCAGAAAAAGCAGGAAAGGCGGACATACTCCAGAGAGCAGACCCATTTTCACCCACTTGCTCATGGCAGCCCAACTGATAGGTGCTTCTCACACATGAATCGGGTCTTAGTCACAAGAGGCTCACCGACAGCCTTTTCAAGAAACCTCATGATTTTCTGCACAGACCTTACCATTTGTCTCTTCGGAATTAGCAGTGCTTCAGTGAGCTCTGTCACCTCAGCTGCTGAAAGGGATGGAAGGGTAACTTACCTGAGCTTCACCTGCTTCCCAGCAGTTGTTCCCCGAGCAAGTCAGGGCTGTACTCCGAGCACGTCTTTTCGCACTTCTGGTCAGCTCCAGATTTTGGGGGTGGGCTGCTAGAGCAGGGTGCTACGTGTCTGTCCCCCCCCCCATTACTCATGACTGCTGCAGTGAGCCTGAGGGAAGGGTGCAGGAAAGGGGAGAGGAAGGTAGATAGACTGCAGTGGTCCAGGGAGCTCAGCAGCAGATCTCCTGTTGGGGTGTGGGCCATGGCAGGTGCCCTGCACTGGTGACTTTGGTGCCAGACAACGACTTGCTCGAAACACTGAAGACTATTTGAAAATCTTTAAAGATGGCCTCTGATCACTTAAGACAAGCAACATTGTCCAGGGCTCCCGTTGCCTCTCCTTAAGAGATCCTTGTTCTTTGTTTGCCCGCCTGCCAAAGGCAGAGTCTGATTTTTATCTCTCTTGATCCAGTGCCGTATCCCTACCTATAATTGCAACTCAGCTCCAGCGCAACATCATGTAAACAATCTTCCTTTTGTGCTCTTTGGAAACCAGGTTCTTCTTTCTCCCTCCCAGTTAAAGCCGAGGCCCTTTGCTTGGATGTTTTCCGAGCAGATGGTGACGTGGCACTTTCCCGGGAACACAGGGCCTCGTTTGTGGAAGACTTGTGTTTTTGCAACAGCCGGGTTATCGGGGCAGTTGCCTCCCTCTTCAAAAGGTCCTTTTTTCCCAGGATGTCAGATGGTGGAACTTGAGCAAAGCAACTGAAAACTGAGAAGGACATTGGCCATCCGGCTGAACTTGGTTTTTTCTGACTTCAGCCTATCTTTTGGGAGCCCCAGAAGAGAGGATAATAACATTTCCAAACCGAACATTCCCCAGCTTCCATCTGGAAGCGATGCCATGCTTTTAAATATACCTGAAAGCCTACCACTGAGGAGGTAAAGCTTTTCCTGGCGTCGTGGGACTCCTGCCTACCCTATGGTTGCCCTGCTGGGGGAAGCTGCACCATTGAACTTCTGCCTGCCACCCAGCTTCCAAGCACACACACGTCCTCCTCCTTACGTGGGACTCTGTAGATTAAATCCCTGCCATCTATTGTGCCGATGCTTCTGGCTGCTCAGGCGAGCCAGAAGGAATTGACACTTGGATTTGAATGGGCATCCCAGCTTTTCACTAAAAATGTCTGGAGGCAGCTGAGAATAAAAGGGCCAAGACTGAAATGCAAAATAACAAGGAACACAATGTTTAAAAGCACAATTGAAAGCAACCAGACTAATAGGCAGTACTCAGCTAATACTGTTTTTAAACTCCACAGTGTCAGGCTAGCTTACATATGCCACTGTTGGTCCCATTTTATAGACGACAGGCCTGAGACCAAGAGAGATTAATGTTTTGAGTGAAAATCCAACCGACCTGCCTTCCCTTCTTGCTTTCTATCTCCTACCTATTTGAAATTTAGGCTACAAGCATGTGGGGCCAGAGGCCTCTGTCTGTTGTTTGTCTCTCCCATGTGCATTGAGGATGCCGCACGTTAATCACTGCAGAGGTGAAACCGTGCCGGCTTGTGAACAGCCTGTCATGCTCGATGCGTAGCCTCTGGTGTTTCTGTCTAGAGCACACGACGCATGCAAGATACAGCAGCTGCTGCATGCCAAGGGGGGACTGGCAGCGTCACCAGGCTGGGGTGTGCAGTTGCTGCGGTACGAGAACACGGCCTGGTCTCGGCTCTTCCACCTCCACTGCAGGACTGCTGGGCTGGAATTTCTTCTATTTGTTTGGGGCTTAATGGAGGCCAATGTTGTTCCTCTTGCCAGGGGCGTTAAACATTGGAAATTGCATCAGCCGCTACAGTAGTGGAGGAATGCTGGGTTCCAGCTCCCTCCGGTATGAGGCTGCCAAACTGGAATGTATTAGCAAATTGGAATTCTGTCTGAATGGGACTAAATCATGACTCAGGCTCTGCCTCCCACTGCTGGACTTCAGCTAGCAATGGAAAGCTGGGGATACTGCGCGGTGAGGCCAGCTAATGCTGCTGGCTGTGCAGAATGGCCACTCGTCTTGCGTACGTAGCAGCTTTCCGCAGAGCCCTCGGAGGCCGTATCTCATGCCCTCTGCAGCTATTTTGCCTCGCTTAATACCTTTCCCTGCTACATACACTGCTGTGTACCTGCGGCAATAGCTTTGGCCCCTCAGACTCACACTGCAATAACTCTGCTTGTTTCTTTTAAATAACTCCCACTGTCCATCTCTGCGAAAGGATGCACGTCTCCTCTTTGCTGTCCTCCAAATAACATGAAGACTGAAGGTGCTTCCCCGTTCCACATTCAGCCTCATAAATGGGTTGATCATGCCCCAAAGAATTTGCAAAAGGAGGGGAAGAAAGAACCGAAGAAAAAATATTCTCAGGTGCCTGCAAAAAGAAAAAAAAGCCCATGGGGGTTTTTTTGGAAAGGACTTGCCTTCCTCAGGGGTCTCTTATCCTTCCCTCCATGTCACAAAGAATCTTTCCAATGCCCCCCTCCCTCTGTATTGGGACTTCAGGGAATGTATGAATGTCATAACTTTTTGCTATCCTGAATTCCCTTACACTCAGCTGGAGGCCTGTTTTTGCCATCAGACTTAACTCTGCAACACATGATATTAATAAAGATGAGGCTGTCTCAGAGCATGAGCAGAGTGCCTCTGCATTTCTTCTAATGTACGGTGGGGGAGATACCTTGGTAGGTAAGCTTGGTATTCTCTTTTACAGGAAAAACAAAAACCAGAGTGGACTCTCTCTCTCTGAGCTGGCAAGATGGTGGCGAGACGACCAAAGTACCTCTCCATCACACAAGACCAAGGTATGCTGAGAAACTCACAAAAGGGTATTGTTTGGCTTGGCTTTAGGCCAGACAGGTGAACCTTGATAAAAAGCCAGCCTTTCTCATCCCCTCTTATAAAGGAGACGCTGGAGGAGCCCTTACCCTCATTCGGCATCTGGCTCCGTTTGGTTGTGCCATCAGCCCATCGAGAGAAAATGGCAGCTGAGGAGAAGAGCCCTGATTCATGGCTGGGGGGGGCACCTCAAAAGTCCCCCCTATGTAAGTAGCAGACTTAAAGAGCAGTGAGGAAAAAAGAGGAGGCCAAAACTTGCTTTCTGTGAGGATTTCTACACTTCTCATGGCCATGTAACAGGCAGATATCCATCAGGGCAGCTTGTCATTGCATTGCTCGCCTAGGGAAGCTGCAGCAGCTGGATTTCTACCTGCTGTTGAAGATGCCAGAGTCGAGCTGTGGGGTGGGAAAAGAACCAAAGCGGCCGCAGAGAGGGTTCCCACCAACCTGCCAACTTTGATTTTTAAAGGCTCCATTCTCTGGCAAGGAGAGAATGCTTTTAAGGACACGCAAAGCATTTTTCCTTTACTGCAGCATAAACACCGACAGATGTGGGATCTGAAGAAAGGCCTTCTGGAAGGCAGAGGACAGGGAGGGAGGGAGGGAGATGTGCCAGCCGAGACAGGGAGATGCGATAGGAGAAGCAACTGGAAATGGCGAATTAAGCCTCCTGATCTTCCTTTCTTTGGAGAAAAAACTTGCTTTGTCTTTTTGAACTGTGCTCTGTGGAGAGGGAGGTGCCCATAATGTTAGAAGAGTACAAGCATTGGGGGAAAAAAATACATTTTCCTAGTTTGGGGGAGATTACCCAGAAATCTGGAGAAAGCCAGTGCTTGGGTCACCAAAGCCCATTCCAAGAACACTCTTCCGAAAAGTTTGCAGGTGCATGCTTTGTGCTAGCCAAATTAGTTTTGCACCTATCGAGTGTGTCGAGAGGTTTAGCTGCGTCTTCCCTTGGCGCTCTCTGTGGGCTCAAGCCGCTCCTCGTAGCTCAGCAGGCACCGCGATTTGCACTGACAAGAACCCTTGGGCTCAGTGCTTCCCAGCCCTGCTCTCCCTGCTGCCATAGACCAGCCTGCGCGCCAGGTAGGTGGGGCTTGGCCATCTTTTCACAGGTGTGTTCACCGTTTTCCTCTGGTTTGCCCCAGAAAGGATGCTCTGCCTTCCTGGGAGAGATCAGCAAAGTTTTGTCCCTGCACAGCAAAAGTGAAAACGGTGTTTTTACGTGGCATGTGTCCTGCACTCCCGTGGGCATGGTGGCATCTTGCCAATATCAGAAAATGCTGCCCTGACCTGCTTACCAGTAACTGGGACTCAGAAAAGGCATTTCAGCCTTCGAATGGACGTGGGGAGAGGGAACCTGCGCCAAGGCCAGGAATATTCTGGGTGAAACGTAGGGGTTTTGACAGGGAAAGAGACCTGACAGTGGGGGTATGTAATCGCCCTCCAGGTCAACTTGAGACCCTGGAAGATGTCCTGACAGGCCAGATTCTAAGGATATCTCGGGGGAGAGACACAGTAATTATGGGAGATTTCAGTCTCCCGGATATTACTTGGGAGACTCACTCGGTGGTGACAGCCAGGTCACGTCGCTTCCTAGAAGCTATTGAGGGAGGGTTTTTCACACAGAGGGTCCGAGAGGCGACGAGGGGGGAAACATCCTTGACTTGGTCTTGACCAATAGGGAGGAGCTGATAGATGAAGTACAGATTAGGGGAGCTCTGGATGCGAGTGATCACTCCATCCTTTGCTTTGAGATCAGGGGACTGGGGACGGGCAGCAGGTCGAGCACTAGAAGCTGGGACTTCAAGAGGGCCAACTTTGGCCAACTGAAGGCCAGACTGGGGAAAGTCTCCTGGGATGGGTTACTGGAAGGCAAGCGAGTTGAGGAGGGGTGGATGGCACTCAAAAGGGAGGTTTTGGAGGCGCAAGCCTTGATGATACCTCTAGTAAGTAAGGTGGGGAGGCAGAGGAGAGCGCCGCCATGGATGCGAAAGGAAGTGGTTAGAGCGATTAGATGAAAGAGGAACCTCTGTAGGAAATGGGTACTGGGGGAAATAGACAAAAGGGTATACCAGGGGGAGGAGGCCCATTGCAGAAGGAAGAGGAAGGGGAGACAAGTGGTGGGACCACTAAATAAGGAGGAAGGCGATCCAGTGACTGATATGAGGGAACAGGCACAGATGCTAAATGACTATTTTGCCTCTGTGTTCTCCCCAAAGCAGGACGGGGGAGATTCGCACAGGAGATTAGATGAGGCTGGGGACTTAGGGGCACAGATTAGAGTCACCCCCCTTGAAGTCGAGGGGCTCCTCAGGGCATTGGACATTACAAAGGCGCCAGGCCCTCATGGGTTACACCCGAGAGAGAGTTGGCAGGGGTTCTCTCACGCCCGCTGGCCTCCATTTTTGAGACCTTGTGGAGAACGGGTGAAGTTCCAGAGGACTGGAAGGTGGCATCAGTGGTCCCAATTTTCAAAACGGGTAGTAGAAAGGGACATGGGGAATTATAGACCGCTTAGCCTTACGTCCATTGTAGGAAAAACAATGGAAAGGCTCATAATAGGGAGAGATCTAGTGATGCTAGATAGGGAAGGGAGGCTGACAGCCACACAACACGGCTTCCGCAAAAACAGGTCCTGCCAGACAAACCTTGTGGAATTCTATGACAAGGTTTCGAGATGGCTAGATGGAGGGGATGCAGTGGATGTGGTATACCTGGATTTCAGCAAGGCCTTTGACAAAGTGCCCCATGATATCCTGGTGGAGAAACTGAGGAGTTTTGGGATACACCAAAGCACTGTCTGGTGGATTAGGGCATGGTTGACTGACCGAAAGCAGAGGGTAACCATTAGTGGGGAATCATCGGGATGGCGGCCAGTGACAAGCAGGGTCCCCCAGGGCTCTGTCCTGGGGCCGAGCCTATTTAGTCTTTTCATTAATGACATGGAAGAAGGGATGAACAGTCTGCTGATCAAATTTGCAGACGACACTAAAACTGGAGCAGTGGCCACAACTGAGGAGCAGGTACTCCAGATCCAAAAGGATCTGGACAGACTATGGAAGTGGGCAGGAGACAACAAGATGGCGTTCAATGTGGATAAGCGCAAGGTCTTGCACTTGGGGCATAGGAATAGCTGTCATAAGTACAGGTTAGGGGACAAGTGGCTGGAGAGCAGCACTTGTGAAAGGGACCTCGGGGTGCTGGTTGACTGCAGGATAAACATGAGCCAGCCGTGTGACGCGGTGGTCAAGAGGGCGAACGCCACCCTTGGTTGCATAGCCAGAAGTGTGGCTTCTAGATCAAGAGAGGTATTACTGCCACTCTACACGACTCTGGTGCGCCCGCAACTGGAGTATTGTGTTCAGTTTTGGGCCCCTTATTACAGAAAGGATATAACCAGGTTGGAGTCAGTGCAGCGTAGGGCCACAAGGTTGGTGGCCAGTTTGCAGGGGATGCCGTATGAGGCGAGACTGAGGGAACTGGGTCTCTTCAGCCTGGAGAAGAGGAGACTCAGAGGGGATCTGTTGGCGACATACAGGTATGTGAGGGGGCGTCACACGGAGGTGGGCAGAGACCTGTTCTCCCCTGCAGAGGAAGGCAGGATGTGCTCCAACAGAGCCAAACTCAGGGAACCAAGGTTGCATTTGGATGCCAGGAAGCACTTCCTGACAGGTAGGACCCCGAGGGTGTGGAATGGGCTTCCACGAGAGGTCGTTGAGGGGTGCGGGTGTTCAAGGATAGGCTGGACGTCCACATGGTGGGCATGTCATGAGTGGAGCCGGCTGGTGCCGGAGGTCAGACTCGATGGCCCGGGAGGCCCCTTCTGACTCGCTCTGTTTTCTATGTTTCTATGTTTCTAATATCCAAACAGTCAGCCTTGGGGGAAAGGGATCCCCAGAAGCCCCCCTTGGGCCCCCAGGCGAGCTGCTTCCGGCTGCCCAGCTTGGGTTCTGGCACCCCCAGCTTACAAGGAATGTCCTACCGTACCTGGCACTGGATGGCCACCTGCCTTTTAAAGGTGGCGACTCTTCTTTCCCTCCCCTCACTTTCTGCTTCAGACCCTCCACTCAAGCCTGGAGCCGGCGGAGCCTCCTGCCCTGTCCCACCGCAAGCTGGCGATCGTGGTGGCGGGGGCCATCGCAGTGCTCGTCGTCAGCATTGTGGGGGTCCTCCTGGCCACTTACCTCGGGCGTGCAGCCTGCGTGCAGGTACTGGAGGAAGCAGGCGGGGGAGGTGGTCCTGGTTTGGAAGGGCAGGCGGATTCCCCTGCTGGGGCTGGCCTGCCTGGGCGCTTCTCACGAGCAGAATGCTCTGCCGGTCCTGAAACTGCAGGCCAGAGGAAGGGACTCATCCTGCCAGTGTGCGTGGGAGATTCATAACGTGAGAGTTGAGGGGAACAAGGAACAGGTTTCAGAGCAGGGGCGGGTCACTTGTGGTCCCCCAGGAGTGTTGGGCGTGCAAGCACTGCTGTGCTTGCCTTGGCTGTTCAAGACACCCTGAAGGCCAGCACTGGAGGGCCTTGTCGGCTGCCCGGCCTTGCCCGTCCGCCGGGCACTGTGCTCCGAGTGGGCTTTGCTACATCAGGACAAGCCAGCTACCCCCTCCAAGTTATATCTTCCCTGCAGGTCGTCTCAGAAGCTCAGGGGAAGGAGAAAATGCACCCCTGTCTTTTATTTTATTTTATTTTATTTTATTTTATTTTATTTTATTTTATTTTATATATATATATATATATATATATATATATATAGTTTTAAACTAACACTAATAAAAACATCAAATATCACATACATCAGATTCACTGGGTCAACTCCCTACACACACATACACACACACATTTTTTAAACTTTCTAAAATCTAATTCAAATTACGCCAAGTCCCGTTTCTCCAGCCAATTATAGAAAGAGTCCCAAGTTCGATAGAAGTCAGTATCCTCTTTCTCCTTCAATGATAAAGTCAATCTATCCATTTCTGCGCAGTCCACGATCTTTCTTACAATCAGTTCATTGGTGGGTAGCTCCTCATTTTTCCAGTATTGAGCAAATGCAATCCTCATTGCTGTAATTAAGTGCAACATCAAGTACATTTCCTGTCTGTTGACGTCTTCCGGTATAATGCCTAACAAGAAAACTTCAGGTTTTAAAACACAGGGTTTCTGTAATATTTCCTCCATCCATTTATGTATTTTAATCCAATACTTTTTCACATTATCACAAGTCCACCACATGTGATAGAAAGTACCCACTTTATGTTTACATTTCCAACATCTATTTGACATATTTGGAAACAGCTAATCGGCTTGGCAACAAATACCATCTATAGAACATTTTATATAAATTTTCTTTATACGAAGTTGCTCATGTTATCTTGATGTTTCTTTCCCATAATTTTTGCCACTTTTCTAATTCAACATTAAATCCAAAGTTTTGTGCCCATATTATCATAGTTTCCTTAACTTGTTCCCCTTCCATTTTCCTGTCAAGTAAAAAACCGTATAGTCTTTTAATAATTTTCTCATCTGCTTTAAGCATCACTTGATCAAATTCTGTCAGGTCTTTGTAGAACCCCCGTGTTTTACAATCTTTAGCATATATATTATACCACCAGGAAATATTAAGTCCCTGTTCTTGTATTTCTTGCTCCAGTTTCAAGCCACCATCCTTATCCAAGATATCATCATATCTTATAATCTTTTCAAAGTTCAATACATTTAGATATACAAAAGCTTCCATAGGTGAAAGCCATCTTGGTAATTTATTATACACTTTTGACTTTTGTTTTTCCCACACTGACATTAGAGATTTTCTAATAAAATGACTCAGAAAAGACCCATGTGACTTAGCTTTTTCATACCACATATAAGCATGCCAACCCATCTGCAACTCATGACCTTCAAGATACAAAACTCTTTTATTTCGCACAGTTATCCGTTCTTTTAACCACATTAAAACACACTTGATAATACAACATCCAATCGGGAAGACCAAAACCTCCATTCTTTTTAGCCTCCCGAAGCATGTTTAATTTAATCCTGGGTTTCTTTTTTCTCCAGATAAATCTCGAAATTTGAAAGTTTAGATCATCAAAGAATTTTTTATCAATTTTTACGGGAATCATTTGAAACAGAAACAAAAACTTAGGTAATATGTTCATTCTAACAAGTGCGATTCTTCCCATCAAAGATAATTGTAATTTGGCCCATTTTTCCAAATCCCCTTTAGTATCCTTCAATAATTTATCATAATTATCTTCTTTCAAAGTAGATACATTTGGCTGTAAGATAGATTCCCAAGTATTTAACCTTTTTAACAATCTGCAAATCTACCTGTCCCTGGAGTCTTTCTTTTTGTTCCCACGTAAGGTTTTTAACTAGCAGTTTCGTTTTTTCTCTATTTATTTTCATTCCCGTAACCTCACCATATTCTTCAATCGGTTGTAAAGGTTTAGGCATTGTTCCAAAGGGTTCCTCCATTATGAAGACCAAATCATCTGCGAATGCTTGTAGTTTATAACTTTCGTCCCTAATTCTAGTGCCTTTGATGTCCTCGTCATCCCTAACACTTCTATTCAGTACCTCTAAAATCATAATAAACAGCGGGGGTGATAATGGACATCCTTGTCTAGTACCTTTTTGGATCTCTATGGGGTTTGAAAGTTCTCCATTAATTAAAATCCTGTCCGACTGTTTTTGATAAATACTTGATATTGCACCCCTGTCTTTTTGTAAACCCCCTCAACATGTCCCTGGCTGTCTTGTTTCCCCCCAAAAGTAAACATTTTAAAACTACCCCCATTTCCTTTCCTTTTTTCAGTATGTTAATTTTTAAAATAATTTTTATTAAACTAATGAAAGCAGTACAATTAATATAATAGCAATAAACATCACTAAACATTATGAATAAACATAATTAGTGCAACAATAGCAGTGCTACCTCCACCAGGACCAACAAATCAAGTCACTTAAAGTAAGATCATTTATTCAGGTTCCCACTTCCCTTCCAGAACTGCATGACTCTTGTGATTGTTCATACCCCTTTCCTTTTATTAAAACAATTCAATAAACGGTCTCCAAATATTTTCAAAACCATCTTTACTTATCAAACCTTTTTTCATTTAATATTGCAAGTTGACTTATTAATAGCCATATCCCAAACTTCTTTATACCAGTCAACTATTTGATACTCACTTTTTCCCCAATTCCTTGCTATTATTAATCTTACTGCTGTTAATAAATTTACCATCAGTTCTTTAGCATTTATTTATTTATTATTTATTAAAACATTTTTATGCCGCCCCATTCGCCGAAGCCTCGGGGCGGCTTACAACGTTAAGAAAAAAAAATAATTATAACATTTTGTCTCATCTGTTCTGTGAATAATGGGAATCATGCTAGTCCAGGGTCAGCTTCAATCTCCATTTTTTTTCCGCTTTGCCCTGCTCAAGAGAGACGCCTTCAGCTACCTGCCTCCGCAGGTGAATGTGCAGAATGAGGCATCGCTCTTGCTCGCGCTCAGCGAGCTCGGGGAGCAGGGCACGGCCCCAGGGATCACCTGCGACCTGAGAAACGTGAGTGACGGGATTGGCAGCAGGGGTGGGTTGAGGGGAGAAAGGAACAAGGGGCAGGTGGTGTGGGGATCTTTCCTGGAGTCTTGTTAAAGCTTGCTGGCGTGCATCTGAATCAACTGAAGCAGACTAAGGTAGACGAAAGTGTGTGGAAGGATACAGGGGTATCTTGGCTCACGAACTCAGTCCGTTCCACGACTCTGGTCACGATCCAAATTGGTCATGAGCCGAGTCAAATTTCCCTGTAAGGTTCAATGTAAACAAGGTTAATCCATACTGTAAATCTTTTTTTTCTAATCACAGGGAAGATGGGCACGATCGCGAGCACAACCATGATTGCACCCGTCTTCCACGCAGGAACACAACCACAATCACGGCCATCTCCCCCGCCCCCCGCGTCCCCAGCACAGCCACGATTGCACCCGTGCAGGGAAGACGGGCGTGATCGTGGTCATCACCTGATGCGGAGTTTGCGGCCTGAGGAAAAATTTTCCTAAATTTCTGTTCATGCTCCGATCTGGTTGTGAACTGAGGTGTTCGTGAGCTGAGGTACCACTGTACTTTTCCCTTAACAATTGCCAGGGCTAGTGATGATTTTTCTGATAACAAAAAGGATCCAGATGCATTGGGGTTAACTGAGCTTTGGGGATATTTCCTTTATACATGTAAAATCTATCTCCTGCTTTACCTTCAAAAAGAAACCCAAGTGGCTAACTTTTTAAAGGCAATAATACACATGCAAAATCAATATGATACGGTAATGACAGCTAGGCAACCAACAGGAATCCTGCTGTGTCTTGAGACAGGGAAGAGATAAATGTGGCATGTCAAAAGCCTTGCTGGAATATATATATTTAAAGGCTTTGCCATTCAGCATTAAACCGGTAGGCCCAATTTAACTGTTATCAGGTGACAGGCACTTGGCAAAAGATGCTGGAGGAGAGATGTATTTTGCAAGCACCCCACTGGCTTTAGCAGAGCTCAGCAACTTCCAGCATAGTTCAGATGGAGCGACAGCAAAGTGCATCATCGAGGACGAGGATCCCTGCCAGAAGCGTCACCTTCGTATTTTTAAAAAATTAGCTCAGGGACAGGCCACTTCTGGGGGCTGCGGGCACATTTAGCCATTGGGCAGAGCTGGGGTTTCTCCCCGATGTGCTGAAGCACTCGTTCGGAGGCATCGTTTCAGCAGTCTGAACTGCTGTCAGAAAATGCTGGAACAAAACTGGGGAGCTTTGGTGAACGTGACCGCCCAAGGTCCCCGTGCAGCGTGTGGGCTGAAGTGGCTGCTGGCCGGCTTATCACCCGGGTGGGGCAACCGATGTTTTCCGCCCATACTTGCTACACAGAATAACCACATATACAAGCCCCCAAAGGTGTGGAGGGTGTGGGGAAGAGGGTGGGCATGCTGCGTGGGGGGAAATCGGTCTGTCAGAGCACGTGGAGAAGGGCAGGCTGCAGAGGCCTGGCCGCCCCCCCCCCCCCACAACCACTTCTCTGGCATTTGCCCCATCAGCACCTGATGGTGTATCATGGCCAGCCGGAAGGCTGCGTGGCCCGTAGAATGGAGGCGTCGGAGCCGCTGCCCTCCTGCCAGGAACTGGAGAGCTACTTCCAGGCTGTCTTGGTAAGGGTCCCATGGCGCGGGTGGGCTTGGGTGGGGACTTCCTGCCCTGCAGGAGGCGCATCTCAAAGGAAACCAACCGCTCGTTGCTTAGCTGCGTTCCGATCCCGTCACAGAAAAACGCCACGCTGGGGATCACCGAGGAGGTGCAGCTCGTGGGGACGGGGCCCCTGGGCGGCCTGGCCACCCTGCTGTGCAGCAACAGGCCCACCTACCTGGTCAGCAGTTCCACAGGTGAGTTGCACGGAAGGGCGAGGCCAGGCTGGGGCCAGCGCAGGGTGGGGGGGTGCCCATGAAGGGGTGCCCGGGCCTCATTGGCAGCTCTGTGGGGGGAGTCCTGGAAGGCCCCTGGCCTGACCGCCAGGAAAAGTGCATGCAGCCTGGGCTCAGGGGACTAGGCAGACCGCCCCCGGGGAGGGCTGCTGGCTTGTTGCTTCCTGGCGGCCTCTGCAGGGTGCCGGGCAAGCAGCTGGGCTCTGGCCAGATCCCGCAAGCCCCGCGCCAGCCTTGTGCTTGACCCAGGCGCCCATCCATGTATCGCTCTGCACACTCGCCCTGCCCCACCGCATCCTGCCCGTGAAAGGGCAGGCGCCCCCCCAGGGGGGTGGGGAGCAGGACTGTCCGCAGGCCAAGAGAGGAGCAAGGGAGGGGAGGCTTTGCTGTGGGCGGCCCTGGTGGTGGGCAGGATCCAGGCGCCACCATGAGACAGAGCGAGCTGGGAAGCTCTGGCAGCCCGGTCTCCTCGTGGCAGATGCAGCGCTCCTGCCGTGCAGGGCGAAGGCCCACGAGGCCCTCGGCTTGGGAGAGCCGAAATGAGGGCTGCCGAAGGGGGGCGGCCTTGTCCCTGCCACTGTGCGGATGGGTCGGGCCACGGTCGGGTCCCGACAGCTGGAGGGCGCAGTCTGGGGGATGCTGCGCCATCTTCATGACCCTGCTGCTCTGAAAGGGCTAGCTTTCCCTTCTTCCCTCTCCCCAAAACCAGAGCGCAACAACTTTAGAACAAAGCAGCCCTTGAAAGCAGGTGCATTAAGGCCTTCAAAGCAAAGCTGTTAAAACAGACCTCCTCCTCCTCCTCCTCCTGAAGAGTCAATGAGGCCCAGAGCTAACAACCGGGCCTCCTTTGCTGAAGAGCCAGCAATTCACGGCCCAGTATTCTGCTTGTCTTCTCTGCGGTGCACGGAGGAACAAACACAAGAGAAAGTACTTCCTTGCTTTGAGTTACTGCTGGAATTAAAAAGGGGAAAAACCCCATCCAGCAAAGGGGTACAAAGGGGCCTTCTGCACTGTGGCATGGACACCTTCAAAGCCTTCCTTATTGGGTGCGCAGTGCGCCCTCTAATGGCAACATGCAACATGGCAACATGCCCCATGTTTTGCATTTCACACATCCTCCCATGCCAGCAACTGAGCTGCCAGAATTACCTTTTCCTTCATTTCACTGCAGCTTCTCCAAGGAACATCATGACCAGGCGTTCTTAGCTGACCACCATGACCACTTCCCCACAGATCTGGCCATGTGAGAAAAATTGCGGCTCTTGCGCTAGACGGTGGTGGGTCGGCCGACTCGGCCTGTCGCTGCGGACAGCGCGCCCGCCGTTGGAAGGGGCCCGGCGGGCGCGTATCTGCAACAGCTCACGTGTGCGCAGCCTTGTCCTCTCCCTTGCTTGGCCCCCGTAATGAGCAAACCAGTAGCAATAAAAAGTAAACAAAAACGAGGATCAGTTTGTCTTGAAATGGTAAATCGCAGGAGTGCGGGAAGGTACACATCTGTGAAAGCACAGAATGTGCTTTATCTTGGAGAAGATGCGATTTTGGGAGAGCATTTAAATGTCAAGTCAGCAAAGAGCAGAGACAATTTCAGCAGAAGGTGAGTGATTCCAACAGAAGCAACCTAAGACAGCTGGCCAATTATTTTGCACGGTTCAGTTTCCTCCAGAAAAAGGAATCGCCCTAATTAATGTTGATCGTGTATGGGTGTGCCACTGAAGAGTCGATAGGAAGTTGCCAAAACATCCGATAAAAACACACACAGAAAATTTGTTTTTTTATTCTATGATAATCCACAACCCGCCCCCCAAAAGATCCTAAGCACACCCCACCACTGACTGCTCCTCCACCTGGGGTAGCCCCTAAAGGAAAGATTACAGAAACCAAAGGTTCTGAAGCGGCGCAGACTCAGGCATGCAGAAGGGAGGGGCTCCTGAGTGCACAGAGGAGAAGGCGCCGGAGGGAGGCAGGGAGGGCGGCCGAGGCCCAGCCCCCGTCATTTCTTCTCTTCCTCCTTCTTGTCCTTGTTCTCCTTGGAGGCCTGCGAGGCCAGAGAGCCCATGGCGTTGCGGATGGCCTCGTTGTTGGGGTCGACGCCCGGCAGGTTTTCCAGCACGCTCTGAAGGAACTCGGGGTCCTGCATCACATCGTAATCATCTTCCTCCTGGGAAAGGGGAGTCGTGGAGGAAAGGGTTGGGAACGGGGCTGGAGCGCAGACGCCGGCAAGGGAGCAGGGGAAGGGAAGGGAAGGGGAGGGTGCTGGGCCAGCCACCGGGCCTTGCAGTGGCCACCTGCAAGCGCACGGGGTTCTGAGGGGCCTCTTTCCCAATTCCCACTCCCTGCGGGGGCAGAGGGGCAAGGGAAGAGCGGGCTGTGGGGCACAGGCTGTTTCCCGGCTTCTCCGGATGGCACCAAGGACTTCTGGGAGGGCATCCTTGCTTGAGGAAGCCACCTTGGGCATGTTCCTGGCCACAAACCTTCGTGGGTTCCGACGTGTCCATGTCAGCGCTGCTGTCCACCTCGGCCGACTCGCCTTGTCCAAACTCTGAAGCCAAAGCAAAGAATCGGGGCTTGTGAGCAGCCCTCTTCTGCAGCGGAGCCCACGAGGGAGGGCCGCCTTACGTGGGGGGGATGAAGCACAAACCAGGAAGCCTTTATCTACATGGCTCCCTCCGCTCTCCCCCCATGCTAGAACAGTGCCCACCGAAGAACGGAGCTGGGCTGGAGCTCCCAGGCACGCCCAGAGCGCTGCCTCCTCCAGCAGCCGCGATGGAGCGCAGGGTGCCCGGGGACTCCTGCACAGACCAGCCTCCCCTCGCCGGCGCCCTCTGGGGTGAGGCTGTGCATGCTCTCTGTGGGGCACCAGGTCCAGGAGGGCCATGGGAGACTGCCCGTAATGGGAACGGATGCCGCTATGGCTAGCATCCCCTCTGCTGGGGGTGTGGAGAAGACGACTCGCCCCATCATTTTAGGTTGCCTTCTCTCTGTTACCCAACCTGAGCTGCTAAGAGATAGAGGCACCATCTCTGTTCCATCAGGCACGCCATCGGGACTTCCACAATCCACTTCTCCAAACAAACAGCGGCCCGCCCGCTCCCTCCCGGGCCAAGACCATCCACTGCAACTGAAGCAAAGCCGCCCAAGGTGCACACTGCCACAGACTCCCGCAACTCGGGTGCCGAGCCGAGCTTGAGAGTAAAACGGGCCACGTCCGTACAGCCCGGACCGGGCTTTGCTTTTGCAGGGGGGCAGGGGCTCTTCTCCCGCAGAAGCGGCTGCCCCCCACGAGCAGCAGCCCGTGCAGAGGGAAGGGCGCCCTCCTCTGCTGGCGGAGCATGCCCTTGTCGGCTGCGGCCGGCGCCTTGGTGCCCCAGCGCTGCGGAGGGGAATGAAGCCACCCGGGGCCTCCCCATGCGAGTGACACCCTGCGTCCCAACAGAGGCCTTCCCGGTGCCTCCGGCGTGAGGGGGGGGGGGGCCCGCCCGGTGCTCACCGGTCCCCTGGAGAGACATCTGCATGGCATAGGCAATCTGCTCCTCTTCCGTCATGGTGCTGAGGTCAGGCAGGCCGGCCCGGCCGAACTCCTGTTGTCCAATGGTCATCTTAAGCAGGGCATCATCCGAATCTGGCACGGGGGAGCAGGTGAAGGGGCAGCGCCACCGGCGAGCACGCGAGACCAGCCCTCCCATCCCAGGGCCCCCCAGGTGGGCTGGGCGGGGCTGGGCTGGGCCGCCCATCAGAGGCCAGAAGCCTGTCGCCGGGCTCGGGATGGAAGCCAAAGCTTGACCGTGACATCGGCCCGCGGAGACGGGAGCGTGCGTAGGGGACGGGACAGCCCAGCCTCCCCCACGGCACCAGCCCCACATCTTGCCTCTGTGCACAGGCCCTCCAAAGAGCCCAGGCCAGTCCCAGGGAAGACGTGGAGGAACGAACAGCCGCATGCGGGCAGAACGCCGTGGACCCCTGGCCATAAGGAGCAGGCCGAGTCCCAGCTCTGACCTCCTCCAACCTCGGACCGATGGCAGAACTCCACCAACAGCCCTCTGCAAGGCTGGAAACTGCAGGCTTCGGGGGACGGCCAACGACCACCACCAGGAGACGCTGCGCCGGATGCACATCAGCCCAGGCGACAGCCCAGGCGCCAGCGGGTTGCCCCAGGCAGGCGCCCAGCTTTCCCCTCAATGATATCGGACGGTGGGGTATGTGGGGGTGGGTGGGGATTCTGTTTTAGCTCTGTCGTTTACCAAGCGCAAGTAAATCCAAAAGCTGAATCAACACCCCTGACGGGAAGCTGGACCGATCTGAGGCCCAAGGCCCAAGTTCTGCCACATTCCAGGGCGAGGGGCAGAGCTCCTGGGAAGCCCCCCCGTGACTGGTGGGGGGGGGGGAAATCGGGGCAGGGCCAGGAAAGGCAGCATGGCCTTCGGGGCAACCCCAGAAAGCTGCCTTGGGAAACGGCTTGCGGTGCTCCAGGGCATCAGACCATGTCGCAACATGAAGCTACATTTCTCCAACACAAAAGAAAATGCAGTTCAAGACCTCCCAGGAAACCCACACGACTCGGTTCAAGACAAGGTTCTTTGGCTCAAGAAGGGAAGGTCGCCTGCTCAGCTGTTTTCTTACCATCTCCGCCGGTGGCCGGAATCCCAGCTTCCGCGGCCGACGCTGCCGCAGCCCTCCGGGCCTCCTCCTCTTGCCGCTGCCGCTGCTCCTCCATCGACACACGGAGAGCCTGGAGGAGCCGGGGGCCAGTGAGACTTGGGGTCCTCCCCAACACCCCCCTGCCCAGACCGCTCCCCACCCGCGGCACTCACCAGAGCCAGCTCCGGGTCAGCACTGGGGTCCACCCCAAACTCAAAGTCGCTGGCCCCCAGCCCCAGCATGGCACCCCCCTCTCCTGCCAGGATCGGGGAGCTGATGAGGGCGTCGGCAAGGCTGGGCCCCGGAGGCACTGTCACCAGGTGGGAGCCCGTGCCATCTTTGCCATTCAGGGTGTTGATGAAGGCCGTCAACTTATCGGTGTTGGCTTCCTGAAGGGAGAAGTGGGACGAGGCATGTCCGAAAGATGCCTGAGAAAGCAGAGGGAACGACAAGCCACATGCGGGGGGAGAGGGCACTCTTCAGTCCCCATAAGCCTCCATCACTGGCACGTTGGCCACTGTAGCTAAATTAAAAAGGAAAATGCAGGGAACTGGAGTCCCCTGATCCTAAGACAAGACAAAGAACGGCTTGACGTGCAGGCAAATGCGAGGGGATTCCACTGCAAGTTATAGCTGACCTCAATGTAAAGGGATTTGTTCTGAAACATATTCAGTTTACTGGAACAGATACAAGGGCATCCGGTAGCTGAGAAATAATATGGAGGGTGATCTAGAATTAACAAGGCAGCAAAATGTATGAGCTAAATTAGGGAGGACTCAAAGGAAGATTTTAAAGGATAGCAACTATCCTTAAGGGAAATTCTTTAAAGTAGTTTAGTTAATGCTATATTATACCAAAATATCTGGCAAAGAAAGTACAAAAAACACAAGATGCTGGAGAAACTAATCTGGCCAGTGGGGAAGGATGGTGGGAGGTGGAGTCCCATAATGCCCAGGGTCCCTCACATCCCTCCTGCTCCTGCCTCAGGCCTGGACGCCTCACCTCTTCACCGAAGTTGATGATGTCCACGTTCACCTTCTCCTTCTTCAGACGCTTGGCCAGCTTCACCAGCTGCAAGGAAGGGAAGCTGTTACGATTTGAAAGGAGAAGAAGGCGCATCTGCCCCCCACGCAAAAAACCAGACCTTCGACGCCAAGGATCTCCACCATCGCAAAATCACTCACGTCTTTCTCGTTATCCTCCACAGGGCTTCCCACAAAGGCAATGATGCGCATCTTGTGGTTCTTTCCCTGTCGGTGCTTCAAAGCCAGCTAGAAGAGGAGAGCAAAGCTGAGCCGAGCAGCGGAAGCAGCGAAGCTCCCGTCCCTTCTTTGCCCCCTGAATGCATTTACCATTTCTTCTCAATTCTGCCTCTTCTTTAAACCCAGAGGATCCCACTGGACACACATGACCCCAAAATGGCACAGAAAGCCCCAAACAAAGATATTCACTGCCATTGCCTGCTGCATTTTAATTTAGTTCAGGGAGTTCTGCCCTGCCTTTTTAGCCCCCAGGTCAGCTGCTGGCTAGGTATTAAAACTACGCCAGTGAAATCACAGAAACTGGCAGGAATGAGCAGAACCCGTTGAAAAATGTGCTGCCATTTTGGAATGACTGCTCCACACTTACCCACCCAAATGCGACCAAGTCAAGCTCTCCTCCCACCTAAGAAAGGGTCAGCTTAAAAATCAAATCTCACTGCATGCTGTCGCCAGAGAAGGTAACTTACATGAGCCACACGGATTCCAGTGCAGAAGGTGATCTTTCCCTTGGGCTGAACTGAGTGCAGCTTGGACAGAATGCGGCCCGTATCAGGGGTCAGGGTGGTCAGCACCTCACAGTTGCTAAAACAAGGGACAGCGGTGAGGGTGGGTGGGTGGGGGGAGAGTCTCCAACCCAGATTTTGACACAAGGCAGGGAAATTTCGGGCTGAGATCTGAAGCAGCCCAACAACAAAACAGGATGGGCAGGTGGCTAAGGACTTGCCAGCAATGAGCTGCATCCTGCCTGGGGTTGATGGGAGTTGCAGTCCAGAACTTCTGGGAAGCTTGGGGTTGGGGAAGACGGCCAACCGCCTGTGGACATCCAGAGTTTGAGAGAAGGAATGCCTTTCCTTTCTCTCTTGGTAAATTCTGCTTCCCCAACCTGCTGTCCTCCTGAGTCAAAGGACTTCATCTCCCAGCATCCCCCAGCGCCACCTCTTCCCCTCCCGCCCCTTTTTCCAGCCATGTATTTGCACGAAACATACTTGGCTAAAGTTATGAGGCCAACGTTGTTCTCGGGATTGCTACGGGTCTTCGAGTGACAGACAATGTTGACCGCGTCCTGTTGAGCCTGGAGGCGGGTTGGTAAGAAATCCCCATTCCTCATGTACTCGCTGTTGTCGACACTAGACGAGAAAGAGCGAGGGGCACCATTCATTTTCATCCCACACGCTGCGAGGGATTCAGCAAGGCCAATGTTGCTCCCCCTCCTTCCACAACAGCCCTGCATGGCGGACCAGGCTGAGAGATTCGGCCCTGTGCAAAAGTGTGGTATGTTCCACTGTAAAGCAACAAGGGAGTTTTGCCTATTGCGCAACATAGTAGAAGAAGGATGCTTAACAACAACATCCCCGTTGGATGAGATCCAAAAGATCCACAGCAGTCCAGCAGATGCCACAGGTGGCACACACTATTTCTGTATGAAATTATAGCTGAATGTGTTCAAGAGCTCCAGAGGAGGAAGAGGCAAGGGCTCTTTCCCAGGATGTCCAGCAGTGCCTGGTACTACAAGGCAAAGTGCAGCTGCATGGGGAGGCTCCATCGCAAGATCAAAGGGGACCCCCCAGCACAGCATCCTGCAAGCCGCTGTGGCTGAGGCGGCCTTTCCCCTGACACGTTCTCCCAGCCTGCCCAGTATCGCACGGGGACGTGGAGATGTCTGGGAGCAGCGCAACCAGGTGGGCGATGGGCTGCAGCCCTCCTGGCACGGCGGCCTAAAACTTCCATCATGCCGGGCTGGGGCCAGGGAAGGAGGGCCTTGTGGGGAGGCACGTCTGGAGCGCCACAAGAGGCCCCACCGCGAGGAAAGCCGGCATGGCATCTGCGGGCGCGCCGCAGCCAGCCCGCCTTGCCAGCCCGTCACCCACGTCGGGGACCCCCGGGGCTGGCGGCGGGGCCCCTCCGGCGCCCCCGCCCCCCCCCCCCCCCCAGGAGCGCCCCCGCCGCCCCCCGGGGTGGCGCCGCCCGCGCCCCCTACGGAGCCCCCAACCCCCCCTCGCCTCTCGCCCCCCGCGCCGCGGAGCAGCCCCCACTAGGCCCGAGCATGACTCAGGGAAACCGCCCGCGTCCCGCCCCGCCGCCCGGCCCGGCCCGGCCGCGCTCACCAGACCATCGTGCTCTCCAGCACCATCGTGGCCGCCGCCCGCCCAGCCGCCGCCGCCGCCGGCCCCGCTCCGCGCTCGCTCCCGGCGGCCGCCCGCTCGATCCACGGCGCCCTTCTGGCCGGTCGCGCGCGGGGCCCGACGGGACAGGTAGTTCCTCCGCCCGGCCGGCCGCCTCGCCGGAAGGAGACGCGGGCGCCGCCTGCTGGCCCGCCCGCGCCGAGCGGCGCAGGCCGCGGCGCCCCGGAACCGGTCGCTCGCCGGCGGCACCTGCGCACACGCGGGGCCGGGCGTGACGAAGCCTTTTCGGCGGAACCCGCGGCCTGCGCCGCCCGGCGAGGCCCGCCCGGCGGTTTAGGCCTCCTAAGCGCGCGTAGGGCGGCGCCTCGAAGGCCGCGAAAGCGGGGCGCTGCGGGCCGAGCTGGCTCCGGACGTGCACCGGGCGGCTCCCGAGGAGTCCGGGCAGTTCCGCGGCTGAGGCGAGCCCCAGCGGGAGGGCCTCGCTGGAGCACGAAGTGCGCGCTGGTCGCCGACTCTTTTGTGTACCCCCCTTATCTGTGTTTTATCTGAGGAAAAGTTAATATGACTGCTTCTGCAGTCACCTGCTTTCATATATTCCGAATTCGGGCTGCGTTGTTGGACCCCAGCCCAAGTGGTCCGTCTTCCAGGTGCCCCTCTGGCTCTTAACCATGAGTCTCGCCATCAGCAAAATAAAACTAAGAGGAATCCTACTTTCAGCCCTCCTGATGATGCAAGAAGACCATCAAAGAGTAACCCTGGAAGAATTCCCGCCTGGCTCTGAGGGTCCTTCGGACAGCCCATGGACAGCAGCGTAGGAGCCGGGCCGAACTCGGGGCACGTACTTTGCCCCTGAGCTGCTCCCCGCTTCACGGTTTTGGATTAGGGCTCCCAGCACGCGTGCCAATTGGTAGTACGTGCTGGGCTGATGGGAAGTCAAGTTTACAAAACTGTGGAGCCCCAGTTGGCAACGGGCCTTGTGTGTCTTGTATTCTGACTAAACGTTCCACTGGAAATGAAACAGCCGTCTCCGAATTCGCCCTCAACACTCCGGGAAGACATCGCACCACACAAAGGCCTGGGCTGCGAGCAGCTTCCCCCTTGAAAGGGACGAGAAAGAGGCAACGCGGATTGGCTTTCCCACTCGCACAAGCAGCGTCTATTGGCTCTGGGGCAAAGACCAATAGAGGGAGGGCCTGCGAGGTAGTCACATGCTATTGGGCAGAGGCTGGGGCCAGGAGAGTATAAATAGGCAGCACTCGGCGGTACGGCGTTATTTGCCGTGGAGCCTCCGGGGAGCGACGACGAGGAGCGGGAGCGAAGATCCGAAGCGGCAGCAAGTTGACGGAGTGGTGGAATGCGGAAAGCCGCAGCGCCGGACGGTCGGTCGGTCGGTCGGTCGGAAAGCGTCCATTCGAAGATGAGCTTCTCTTAGTGAAGACTTGCAGCAGAGAGAAGGCAGCTGTTTAAGGTGGATCCTGCAGAACAGCACTTGATACCAGCGCTTGCATGCTCTGGGGCTGGTGGCAGATGTGTGAAGAGCTCTGTCGGTGCTGGGAAGAAGGACTAGTCACGACCTGAGAGAAGACTTCAGTCAGGGAACCTTCCTTTAATTCATGGCAATGGGTACAGCTGGAGGTTCATTAATTTAATAAAGGGTTCACTCTTGGCCAAATAAATTTGAATTGGAAACCAAAATTGTGTTTTAATTTAGGCTATTAGGTTTATATTTAATTAAACCATTTTTATGCTGCCCCATTCGCTGAAGCCTTGGGGTGGCTTACAATAAATAAAAGTAATTATAATATAAATTACATATAAACATTAAAAATCCAAAATAAAATAAGCCACCCTGGCCAGATAAGATCAAATAATATTAACAGTTAAAATGCCACTTAAATAAAAAGGTCTTTGCCTGGCACCGAAAAGCAAATAATGACTCTGGGGATAATGCTCTCTGGGGAGTGCATTCCATAACTTAGGTGCCACTGCTGAGAAAGCCCTCCTCTGAGTACCCACCCTCCTAATTTCCTTCATGGAGGGTTCCTGGAGAAGGGTCTGTCCTGCTGATCTCAAGGGGCGGGTGGGCATATATGGATGTAAGTGCTTCTTCAGGTAACCAGGACCCAAGCTGTTAAGGGCTTTATAGGTCATCACCAACACCTTGAATTGGGCCTGGACTTCAGTGGGGAGCCAGTGAAGCTGATGGAGAACTGGAATCATGTGTCCATAATGCCCAGTCCCCATCAGCAGCCTGGCAGCTCTATTTTGAACCAACTGAAGTGCCCAGACCGTCTTCAAGGGTAGCCCCACATAGTGTGTGTTATATGCTGCTTGGTTGGTTCTCTGGGCTATTCATAAAGAATATCCATGAAGTATAAACCAGCATGTAAAATTTACCTATGAAATTGACAAAAATTAATTCAATAACTATAAATTGCAAACAAAATTAACCTTAAAATGTGTGGGTCATTTGCACATAAATAGGGTTACTGTGATTGAAGTGGGAAACTGAACTCCAAGAGTAACATCAAAGAAAATCTGCTTTAAGTAAAATAACTCCATGTGCTTCCACTGTTTTTTTGGTCTGGTTCTGATTTGCTCTTTTTAGAAGGTACTAAAAAGTATACATTTTTAAGGAGGAAAAGATGTATTAGGTCTGTCCTTTATTGATGCTCTCTGGATGACTCCAGAACCCAACATTCATAAATGGAGTTCTAATTGACATGGCTTCACCCTACACTTTGCTGTTGAATGGTTTCCCTCAGCTAGCAAGGTTCATTCTCAACATAACTGTAATCTAGAGGTTTGCAAGCCACTGAGAAAAGCAGAATATGAATGTAATGGGATCAACCAGGTGTTTCCAGGTGAAAACAAGCTTAGCTTTTGGGATTTGAAAAGCCAACAAATTTGCCATTTAGGGCTGAAGTTACTGTATTGAGAGCAACTTTCATTTCATAGCAATTTGGTCAGGAAAATTTCTTTGTGATCTAAAGGCCACTTGCATGAACTGCCTGATTTGTCAGGATGTTAATGCATATTTAGACAACATAAACCAGCAACTCAGTATGGCCCAGGGAGATTGGCTGGCCCAGTCATACCAAGGTTTGGGATCAAACCCTTACTTCTCTTCCTGCTCAGACTGTTTTCACCTGGATTAAAAGGTGCAACTTGTGCAAACATTGCCTGAAGTGTGGTCACAGGCCATTAAGGTAACACCCTCTACCCAAGATGACCCATTGTCCCATCAGTCACCTGCAAGAGCCTGGGGTGCCCAGCAGTAAGCAGGCTGGAGCAGTGATAATGGGCGGGGGGGCTGATTATATCGATCCAGCTTTAAAGAAAGCCCACAGAGGAAATAGCTAAGCGCATGTTTGAGCCAGTCCGGGGCGGGCCCGGGTCGCGGCGGGGCCTCTCGCCTAGGGGCACGGGAGACCGTCGCGCACGGCCGGCAAACCAGCGAGGCGATCGCCCGCGCCGAGCCCCAAGCCCCGGTTCGCGCAGCCACGGCGGCGGTGGGAAAAGCGCGGGACAAGCAGCGGCACGTCGCCGCCCGTCGGGAGGCCGCGATTGGCGCGGGGGCGGGCACAGAGGCGCCCGCCAGCCAATCCCCCGGCGGCGCCCCCGCCCCCCGCCGTTGTTTGGCGGGAAACCGAGGAGTGCTGGCTGCTTCTTCCCGACGGGAACCCGCTTAGGCAGGGCGAACGCGGAGCGGGGACGTTTCCTCCGAGTCCTCGGTGCTGAATAGGCGGGCGACTGTTATTTACCACACAAGCGAAAGCGCTTTAGCAAGGAAGGCCACCTTTTCCCTTTATTATTTTATTTTCTCCCCATTCTGACTGCCTCATTAAATGGCGGGCCTTAGACAACGGGGAGTCTCGCAGCGAATCCTGGCCCCCACGTACTCTGCACAACCGCCAACACTCCCCCACCCGAAGCCCCCAACACTCCAGTCTCCCAGGACAATTTATTCAGTTGTTAAGTGAGCAACCCAGCCTTTATTAATCCAAACGACAAGGGATCAGGTTTCCAGACTGAAGTCTTCTCTCAGGTCGGGCGACTTTCACCTGGAGTCTTCCCTGAAGTTCTGCTCCATCAGTTTCTGACGTGGGAGACTTCGGCGATCCCGGCTCTCCACTGCCCTGCTCTCCACCTGTAAGGTCAAAGCTGTGCCCCTCCTGGCAGCCAATGCAGGCCTCCAGTCTTCGACTGTTTCAGGTCTTGCCTTCCCTGGATATGCGAAGTCCAACCACGTGTTGTGTTGTTGCTGCTTAAAAGGTGCTTGATCCCACCTAGGAGCCCGTCCACCTCCTGCCAGCAGTTTGCTTTCACCACGAAGACTTAACCTGGGCACGACCAGAAATGTTAGCCCGAGTGATTTCAGCCTTTAAAGGGAAAAAAAATCTTATTTTACTTATTCCAGATCTGCCATCTTCCAATTTCACAATTGTAGCCTGTGCTGGAACTGACGACTGAGCTAAGGCATGTGCAATCTTCATTTTAATGTTTTCATAGTATACCTTGAAGTTCTGCTGTGGCATTAACATTCCGCTGCATTCCTACTTTTGCGCTGGCTTCTCATATTAAGCTCACTGCTTTCTGCCAACGATGTGCTTCGCCCGCTTCTCATAGGATTCTTGCTGTATCAATGCAGCTTTCCTTAGACGATCCACCGCGTGCTCGATTTCGGCTCCACTGAGCCCCTCAGCCGGGGTGCGGCTTATTTATGTCCCCCGGCCCCGGCCCCTGGCCAATAGCACGTGGCCACCCGCAGGGCCCCCTCCCATTGGCCTTTGCCCAGGAGCCAATGGGCGCGCCCCGTGCGACCGCGAGCGCCAATCCGCGCTGCCCCTCGTCGCCCTGCGCGGGACCGCGAGCGAGCGGGGCCGCCCGGGCCGTTCGTGCCCCGCGAGGCGGCCTCTTCGGGGGCTGTCGAGCGGCGTCCGGCGGGGGCCCGCCCCGCGCCCCCCAGGCGCCGCGCCGCTGCCCGTGGCTCCGGCACGAGCGCGCGCTGGATGCCGCGCAGAGGGGGCCGCGCCGCGGTGTGGCGCACGGATGGCCGCCCGCTCCGGCGATCCTGCGCTAAGCGGAGCGGGGCGCGGGCCGCGCGGGTCGCGGCTGCGCAGCCCGGGGCGGCCTCCGGGGCTGGCCTGCCGCCCGGCTGCGCAGGGGCTTCGGGGCCGCCCCTCGCCCAAGGGAGGGCGAGCGGCGCCTGCCCGGCCGGTGCTTTCGCCTCTGCGTGGCCTCGTGGGCCGGGCTCGCGACGAGAGGGACGCGCGTGGGGGGCGGCAGCGGGGGGGGGGGCGTAGCACCCACTGCAGGAGGCTTGCCCCAGTCCCTCTCGCCTGAAAGATGTTGGGTCCCCAGATCCCGGCAGCAGGTTAAAACAGTGAAATACCCACCATTCAAGGAGCCGCCACTCATAAAGAAAAAGAAATGGAGACGCTTTATTGAACTTAGTAGCAGGTCGCCTGTTTTCACCCCAATGAAACTGAAACGTGTGTGCGGTTTTTGGTGGTGACAGTGGGAAATTGACAACCATTTGATTAGGCAGGAATATGCATCTTAAAAAGTATTATGAGGTTCGGGCGACAAAATCCACAACACAGTGAGACCGATGGATGTTTGGCGATGCCAACTGCTCACTCTCTGCCTCGAAACAACCCTGGATCTGTTGCAAAGTGCTGCTTCTTCGGCGACTGAGAGGAAAGATGGGGAGCTGAAGATCCACCGCGATGCCAAAAGAGAAGCCGGTCCCATTGCTGCCTCCTTTGCACAGCTGGCACAAACCTCATGGCCCATTTCCGGGTCCCCCGTTTTTCTTCTTTCAAAAACAAACCTGCATTTTCCTTAAAACCATTCAAAAAGCAAAGTCTATAATGACACACAAGAGAAAGAAGTCTCCTTCCTCCCAAAGTTCATCTTGAAAAGCTAATTTCCCCCAACAAGTGGGGCAAAGTGTGGAATACAATTAAATACAACTTTATAAATAGTAACATTGTGGGAAAAACAGAACAAGAAAACTAGAAAACTGATTGAAGTGTGTTGTTCTTTCCTCCTCTTGGAACAAACTTGGAGAGGTACAGGGATAATTTTGGAAGTGTCCTGGGTGTCTAATATAGACAGCTGCTTAATATATAAATGACAGAAGTCGGGCGGGGAGAAAGGAAGGCTGCTTTTTAAACTTTCAAGAATACTCCCAAATATGAGTCTGCCTCATTGCCTCGCGCAGGCTTCCTTGAGGATGCTCTAAAATGACAGGAAGAAAATGAGCTTTCTGCTTTGAATGTGCTCTCCACTCCCCACCAGTATTTTTAAAGCTTTTTAAACTAAGAAAAGTGAACCCTTTAGGCCTGGGACAGAGGTCAAGTTTCCTGACTTCAGCATGTTCCTATTTGAAGAACGCATGTTGTTATGCCTCTACCGAGCTTTAGCCCTCAGTTCCGGTTGCCAAAATATGCCCTTCACAAGCGAGCTTGAAATTCTGGTTTAAGGCTGACAGTGGCCAGTCGCTTCTGCACCGTGCACCTCCTTGCACCGTGGCCGACACTGGAAAGTTAAGCTGGAGAGCACAAAGCTTACGGAAGCATGTTCAAAACTCTGGTTGGGAAGGGAAGGGATAGAAAACGTCACCTTTTAAAAAGGCTTATGAGAGAAATATAAATCTTCAAGTAGGGCTGATGGCTGGTATTCGACCTTTTTTCCATTTAGATGTAGGCTAATAAAAAAAAAACCCCATAAGCACATCCCACACAGCTGAAAGGGGACCCCTTGTTTGGGGGAGCCACTAATGCATCTCTTGCTCGGCTGTTCGAGGCAACTTTTTCCCTTCCCAGAGTTAAATGCAAGTTGCGTTCTTCAAAAGAAAAGAAAATCAGAACTAGTGGGGAAGATTTTAAAAAGCTCAAAACAGACCACCTGTTGACATAAAAGGAGAGGAAGAAAGAATTGGCCGTTTATATAAAGCAAAAGTAAATTAAGTTGAAAAGAATATGATCTGAGTGTACATACAAAAAAACAGAAACCGTGGGAATTTCAGATCATCTTTTTTGTGTGGTATTAGAAGTCTGAGTCCTTTAAAGAACTTAATACTGAGAGTGAGAAGAGAGTTCCTCTCTCATACAGGGTGAGGGAAACAAATTTGGTCCACTAGTACAATACTAAAAGTTTAAAACCCGTATTTGACTGTTCTTCTTTCTGAGCAGCCCCACATACGGTGTCCTTTAAAAGCCAAAGCACTGGAAACTTTCTTCCACAAGCCCCAAGAGGGGGCAGAGCACCAAGTCTGTGTGTACATTGGGGGTGGGGGGGCAAGGAGACCCTTCCTTTACTGCCTCTTCAAAATGATGGCCAGCCAACTAGATCTGGGGGGGGGGGGCGGTCTACTTCCTGCACAAATATTCTGTTTAAAATTAAACATGAGCAAGACACTCTTGACGTGTGACCTCAGAGGGGAAAACATCTCCCTTAGACCCTTGGGTTCATGTCATTTTTGGTGTGTTAACACAAACATTCCTTGGCCTAAAATCACGTACTTTAAAAACAAAAAAAAAACTGATGTGGCAATTCAGAAAAAGAAGTTTAAATACGTTTTTAAAAAGTTAAAAATAAAATGAAGACAACATTCCTCTTCTGCAAACCGTTCCAAGGAGAGCTGCGCACACACCGACCCCTTCGCGGAGAAATCAGAGTTCAGAGAAGAGCGGCTGGCACCGTCAACCTGCAGCTGGCCCTCCCTCCAGGCCTGGGGGTGTGGAAGGCGCCTGCCCCTTCTTGAGCCGCAGCCTGTAAAGCCCCACGTCTGGGCAGCCTCTTGCCTCACAACCAGAGGAAACGGGGGCAGGGTTGGGGGTCTTCAAGCGCCAACGGGCTTCAGAGGCAGCGCTGTTGGGAGCGCTGCGCGGCTGGGGCGGCCCAGCCCGTCTGTTCAGATTGGGAAAGCGTTCCAGATTGTCCACTGCCTGCAAAGGCCGGAGGGTCATCAGTCCGCAGACCATGCAGAGCGCAGAGGGAGGCTTCTGCTCCCGCCCGAAAGGTCACCCTGCAGCAGCTCACTGAAAATGAGGGATAACAAAGGGCTCAGGATGAGGACGGAGAGCGAGAGGGAAGGGGCGCCGCGGCCCGCGCGTGCGCCTCCAAGCGAGAGCCGGCAGCCCCGGAAGCGGAAGGGCGCCTCCCCGGGCAGCAGGAATCCAGTCCTTGGCACCTCCAGCCCCGCGGCAGGAGAGGGACCCCCTCCCTTCTCCCCAGACGCAATCGCCGCCGTGGGGCAGCCCCAGGGGAACCGTGGAAGGGGGCGCGGAAGGGAGGGAAGAGCCTTACAAAGCTGACCTCCGTCTCGGGCAACTCTTCAAACGGCTCCGTCGGCTCCGATGGCCGTCCTGGCGTGGAGAACCCTGGGGAAGCACTGTGGGCGGAGGGGGAGAGGCGTCAGGCTGCTGCCCAGGCAGCGCTGCCTTGGGTGCAGGGCCCCGCTGGGGCTCGCACGGGCGGCCTCGCTCCGGCAGGAGGCTCCGGCGGACGGAGGGCGATGCCTAGAGGAAACCCACTCCCAAGATACTCCAGCCCTGTACTGAAGGTTTCTCCCTCCTCATTCCCCTGCCTTGGCCCTGCTCAGGCCTCCAGCCCTCAGTGGGACACAGAGCGCTCCTGTAACCGCTGCCTTTCCTCCCGCGCAGCAACAACGCGTGAAGGGAGGGAAAGCCACGCAACAGCCGTTCTGGGTGCCCCACAGCAAGCGGCCTCCGCATGAAAGCCGGGCCGCCCCATCGCCACCCCAGGGGCCTGGCCACGCCTGCGCAGGACACCATCGCAGCCGTCCTCTTCCTCCATCCCGGGTGCCGATCAGTGTCTGATCCCATCTGCTGTGGCGAACCCAGCGCCGTGGAGCCTGGACCAGCCCCCGTGTTCCGCCCCCCCAGGCCAACCCGTCTGAGTCACAGGGCCTCAAGCCAGTCTCCTCCCCGGAGGCCGCTGAGCAGGAAATCCAGGCTCACACCGCGGGTTCCCCTCCCGGCTCGCTCTGCCCCTCCTGCGCCCTCCGCAGCACGAAGGGGGGGCAGCTGGGTGAAGGCGAAGGCCCTGGGCTGCGGAGGCGCCACGCGCTGCAAGCCCCGCTCCCCAGCCAAGCGCCTGCCGGCGTTCCAGCGGCAGACCAAACGCCGCGAGTGCCCGGGGCATCGTCCAGCACCCGCCCCCCATTTCCCCACCCAGGGCCAAGGCAACCAGGAGCCCCTCGCCGCACCGCTTCGCACGGGGGGTGCGGGGCTGACTCCGTGCTCCCCCAGAGTGAGACGCAGGCCCTGCCCCTGCATGCACGAGGGCTGCTTCTCGGACGGCCCTCCGCAGGACCCAGCAGGCAGCCTGAAGCACCACAGCCTGAAGCAGCAGCCCCTGAGCAGGCGCCAGACCTCGAGGCTTCCCACCCTGGGGCCCATGCCCGAGTGGCTGCGGCTCGGGGCCCCTCCAGAGCTGCTCTCGGGGCCCCCACGCCGTGTCTCCAGGCAACAGGCCCTGCCAGCAGCTCCCTTGCCTGACTAGGTTAGGTCTCACCTACTTGGAAACAAGCTGAACTAGCTATCTCCGCAGAGAGGCTGTCTGAACTGAGAAATCCTTCGCCCTTTGACCTACGCGGGATTGAGAGACAGACCCCCCGTCACGGACAAGCAGCTGCAGCCAAAGCATCACCCGGGCCGTGCTTCCCCCCCCGCCGCCCGCTCCTCCTCTCCCTGCCAATACAAGGACCAGGAACCCCGCAGGGGAGAACCAGAGCGGGGCACCTGCCCGTCCGTGTGCTTCACCCGCCTGAGTGCAGGAACGGAGGCACGCTTGGGGCCAGCAAGGCCGGCGAGGTGCGGCGGCTGATCGAGGGGCCCACTAAATGGAGGCAGGGAGCTGGGGGAGTGGGTCCAGGCACGTCACCCGGGGGGACACTTGCCCACTGGCCTGGCCAACTTAATTCCAGGGAAACGGATCTACAGGTGCAGGTGGCGGGAAGTCGATTTCCCTGCTAGATTCTGATAGGCCCTTTCTGGCTGCCTGTGCTGGGACCGAGTCCCGGCTGCCCCTTCTCTGCACCAGGCAGGAACGGAGCAGCCCTCTTGGTCCTCCTGGATCACAGGCTCCCATCTACTTGCTGAACTCCTTTAAAGCTGGGGCTGACGGCAGGGGCCGGCATGGTGGGACTCGGCAGGGCCCTCGGGACTCCCCCCCGCTCTGCCACCGACTGGCGGAGGGGAGCTGCCCGGCCTCTCTGCCCCCCAGCCCCCCCCCCTTCAAGCGAGCAAGCGAGCGAGCGAGCGGCAGCCACGAGGAGGAAGGGACCGGGGCAGAGCTGCGGGGCTGGCACAACGGCCACGGGGGGGCCCGCCGGGGCTGCAGGGTACGAAGGCACAAGCAAAGCGTGGAGGCGGGAGAGGCACAAGACGCAGTGGACCCCCCCGCCCCCCCCCATGTGAGCACTGGCGTTGCTCGGCTGCATGAGTGCTTTCGGCAGCACGGGTGTGTCTGTGGCCTCGCACACACTGGCCACTAAGGCACCAGGAGGCTTGCGGCGGCGGCGTGCCCGGCGGAGGCCCGGCAGAGTCCTTGCGGGGCGCCCTCCCGTGCGTGAGTAGCCCTGGGGCACCCGCTGGCCGCCCCCCCCGCCTCTCACCTAAGTGTGGGGGCGCCGAGTGCGGTTCCAGCAGAAAACGCTTCTGGGGCGGCCTCTGCCTGTGGCCTAGGCAGAGAGCAGAAGAGGGTTAGGAGGCCTCCCCTCCACGCGGGCCGGATGGAGCAGCACCGGGCCGGCGGGCAAACGGGCCTGGGTCGCGCGGGGGCCACAGCCCCCTGCCCCAGCAGGGGCCTTCTCCACAGCTCACTGAGGACTATAAACATGGTTTGCCTAATGCAAGGGCAGCCTTACCGCAGGGCAGGCAGCCCGTCTTGCCACTCCTCCCAAGCAAAGCGAGCCGCCCCGCCGTCTTCCTCACCGACGCCTCTGGCCCACAAAGGCTGCCCCCCGCCGTATCCTGTCCAGCATCCCGCTCTGCCCAGCCTGCCCCCTCCCCGCAGGTCGAGCCCCCCCACCCCTCGCCCTCGGCTGCGCTGCGCTGCGGGGGTCCGGGCAGACATGGCCCCTGCACAGAGGGAACGTGCCGCAGCATCGCGCCCGCTCACGGGTGGGAAGCGCTTCCAGGCGCGAGGCCAAACGGGAGCCAGGGAGGAGGGCGGCAGCACGAGGGGAGGGGCGGCTACGCAAGAGCGAGGGGGGGGGAAGAGGACACAGGAGGGGCACTTCCTCTCGGGGAGTCCCTGCCAAGCCCCTGCCTTCCCTTACATCCTGTCCTCGCCCCCTTTTGTTGACGAACGGGCGCGCGCTGGAGCCGCGCTGGGGAGCCGTCCACACGCCCAGGCGCATGCACAGGAAGTGCCCGGCTCTTGGACAGGCACTGGCTCGACAGGGACCTTCTGCCCCCCAGGATGAACACGGCAGTGGGGGGCTTGCGGAAGCCACGCCGGAGCAGTCCAGCGGGCGGAGAGGGCAGTCCATGGGGCACGGGGGGATGGAGCCGGCAGCGCCTGGGCGAGGGCTCAGAGGCGGGCTGGCTGGCGAGGCACACGACCTGGTAAACTCCACCAAGTGCACTCAGGCTCAGGCTGAAACTGGGAATCCCCCACTTCGGGGCCTGTGGGAGCCATGCAAAGTTTCTGAAGAGGGAGAATCCCAGATCCTGGGCCTGCTTGTCTTGCAGGACACCGACGGCCTGCAGAAAAAGCTGTTCTTGGCGGAGCCTCTGGCAAGGAAGTGAAACTTTTTAAGAAGCTGTGCAGATCAGGAAGGAACCGAGCGTGCGCTTCAAGGGCGAGCCGGGGCGCTGAAAGCCCTCCTGGCGTGCTGGCAGGGGGAGCTCGCCCCCCTTCTTCCCCGCCCAGCGTGGGCACGGGCGGGCACGCACCGAAGGAGTGCGCGAGCCAAGCGGGGGCCCAGCTCGCGGGCAGGCGCAGCCCCTTCCCGGCAGGCACCGTGCGTGGCGGAGCGGTACCTGTTGGCGGGCGAGTTATGGCCTCTGCTCCCCAGGGAGGACGTGGACAAGGTCGTGGCCGCTGAGTCACTGTTTGCTTCTTCAACGGGGGGAGTCCGAGGCAGGAGGTCAGGGCGGCCCAGCTGGGCGCCTGGGAGGAGGAAGCGCAGGAACAAGGAACAGAAGTGAGCACAGACACGGGGACCCAGGCCGGGCCGGCTGGCGAGTGGGGTTCCCCACCCCCCGTTCTGGCGCTGTGGCTGCATGCATAGCGAGGTACCCACAGCCCTCCAGAAGAGCCTCCCTCAACCTCGTGCCCCCCAGGTGTGTTGGACAGCGACTCCCATAATCCCCCCGTCGGCGGAGCCTGGTGGCGGAGGGCCGCTCCAGGTGGTGGTGGCACCTGCAGCAGCTGCCCAGCTGCTGGTTCAGGGAGAGCACCTGGAGACGGGTTCCCCCATCGGGGCCTCAGGGCCCCGCTCGTCGGTCCAGAGCGACGGAAGGCCTGGCGCCACCCACCTTGCTCCACGTCCGCCTCCGTCGTGACCTGCACCCTCGTTTCGCACGCCGCTTGTGCCTGGGAGGGGGCTCCGGCCTGGCCTGGCCGCCGCGGCGGTGCTGCGCCGGACCGACTCTTCTTCGACGGGGAGGATTTCACTTCAAAGGAAAAAGCACATGCACCAGAAGCAGACTTAGCCGCAGCCTTGGGCTGCCTGTCCAAGGACATGTAAATCTTAAAAAGCGGCCAAGAACCAGAACCTGGTCATGACCATCCAAGCGGTGAAACTAAAACACCCAACGTACCCACACAGGCAAGCCGAGAATAACTGTTTTTCGCGGTTTAGTCCGGGGGCGGGCTGGCAAGAATCTCGCCAAGGAAACCAAGAGAGCCGCCTCCTGCTCCCCATCTGGGTTTGGCCCTTTCCCTGGGCCCGCCCTGCTCCTGCCCACCAGCAGCTCGGTGGCTTCCTGGCTTTCGCACCTCCCCGTTCCCCACTCCCACCCCAATTCTGCAATGTGTTTCCTAAAGCTTTAGCAACCATCAATCAGAGCTTTTAACACAATTAAACCATGTTTAAGGACCTCCTCAGACCAAGGCAGAGCAATGCTTCACCCGGCCCAAACCAGGAAACCAGCTTCTTCTGCACAAGAGCCTGGAGGTGCTGCGAGGTGAAATCCAGCAACTCTCATCCAAGCAAAGCTCTTGGCCAACAATTCCGCCTGGCAAACAGGGTTTGGGTGGCGCTCGGCTTAGACTGTGCCCACTCTGACCGAGCGGCGGGGCCCTGGCAGGGGCCGCGAGAGCGAGGCAGCCGCTGCTCGCCCCCGATGAATGCTGGTCACATTCTCTCTCCAGGGTACGGGAGCAGCGCTCCCTGCCTCCACGCGCCTCGCCGCAGAGGCGCTGTGGCACTGGCTGCACGGCGTCAGGCAGCAAACTGCCAGCATAGCAGGGTTAGCTTCAAGGCAGCGTTAAAACCTTTTTATTGAATGGCTGTTTTAAAAACCAACTTTGTCATTAACAGTCACTTTTTTTGGTTTTGGTTTTGGTTTTGATATAATTTTACTGTTACTGTTTTCTTGTTTTAATTCTATGTTGTAAGCCGCCCCGAGATGCCGAGGCATGAGGGGACGGCGTATCAACGTTTTAAATAATAAACAAACAGCTCAGGGCACCCGCGGAAGTATTGGCAGTCTCCGGTTTTGCATGCTGCCTACTCTTGGAAGTAAACGGGAAACGCTTCCATGGAACAAGTTCGCGAACCTGACAAAGATGGTCACAGTCTCAAGTCTCTTTTACTGCGGCTGCTTTGATTTCGCACTGTACCCTGTGCGCGGTCCGGACTGAAACAAGCAATCCTCTCTCTAACATTCGCTGAGTGGTCACCCTGGAAGGGTTGCTGGAGCTCCACCCACATGCAAGGAATCGGATAAACTCACGACCGGTAAATCAAAGAAAACTTACGGGGGATCTTCTTGAATACTACGTTACACATGAACCGTTGGAACCTCTCTGCATAAAAGCTGGGTCTGTGCACCGAAACCGTGTCCTGCAGGCGACACGAAAAGAGCGAGGGCCCAGGGGTTACACCGAGGCCCAGCTTGTCGCTAAAAAACTTAGAACAGGTTTAAAAGCTGGCCATGAATGCGCGAGTGTTTTCCTTTCAGGGCTGACTATCATCTGCATTACCCAGCCCGAAATACATGGGAAACTTTCCGCAGTTGTGCTAGTTCAAGACGCTGAAGAACGTGCCAAGCAGCCGGCCGTCAAGAGGACCTGGCGCTGATGAAAATGGCCTTTCCTCCAGTAGAGGAGTAGGGCTTGAGCAGAATCGCTAGGCTTTCACGAAGCCCTCAGAAAAGGCCATTCTGGGTCAGGATTCCCAGAGCAGGCGCGCTTACTGATCGAAGAGCATCGCCCCTTCCCCATGAGCTGCTAGGCGAAGGCTCCCAAGTAGGGGTTTCGGTGTTCGGGCCAAGCCGCGGTCCTCCGGCTGGTCGCTCGACCTCCTCCAAGCCCGGTGGCAACCCTGCTCCCCCCCCGCCCCCCCGTCGGCTCTGCTGCTTCCCACATTCTTGCCTGCACTGCCTCATAAGGCCCACAGTGGCAGGCGAAGGGCTAGAGGGCCTTCTCTCTCTCTCCCACCCTCCTCATGAAAAGAGTCCAGCCCTCGCTAGACAAAGACGACCAGAGACAGTGCTTTGGGCTGCTCACCCCATCATGAACAAGTGCCTTCCACGAATGTTCCAGCTTCTTAATAAACCTAGAAAGATCGGGAAAGTGGGAACAGATTAGCTTCACGGGCGGATTTGAAAACGGGGGTGTAGCTGGAAGAAGGAGTCAACACAATCCTCCCGTCCGGCCTCCGAGCCCTCCTGTTGGCTGTCGTCTGCCTTGCCAGGCAACCGGGCCGGCAGCCAAGAGGAGCGCTCGAGAGCCAGCGAGTCGCGGCCCGCCTTCTTCCCCTCCTCCCTCCGCGTGACAAATGAACCGGCCAGACAACTTCTATCCGCAAGGGCCTGCCCTCCATGACGACGCCGTCAGCCCGGAGTGACTCCCCGTGATCAGGCAGGCTTGCCCGCTGGGAGCAAGGGCCACTCTGGCATCCCGCCCTATAATTAGGGCTATCCCAAGAGAAAGAATTCAGCTCCCGAGTCTCAGGACACCCGGGGCCCAATCCTAGGCATGCCTGAACAGCAGAAACAGCCCGAGCACTTGCAGCGTCAGAGGAGCCGATTTATCATGCTGACGATGGCAACCGCTTCCACGTGCTACTCCAAGTGGCGGAAAGCTGCTCACCTGTAAGACTGCAAGATATCGATGATTCCCACGTAGAGAAGCAGCCTCTCCCCCTTGGCGTTCCGCGCCGGGATCCCGCCCATCCTGGATGGGAAAAGGAGCCGCGTGAGTCTGCAGGAGCTTCAGCTCCGGCTCGTGGCCGGAGTGACCCGTGCTCCGCCGGCCTTGGCTCAGCACCCACAGCAGGAGCCCCATGGAGCGCCGCTTCTGGCAGGAAAGGGCTTCCGGAGAGCATGTTCAAAGGCTCCCGATGAGCGCCCTTCCGGGTTGGGGCCACACCACCACCCGCCCGCAGGCCCCCCTTCCCCCTCCCTTCTTCCAACACAGCTGTTTGACATGGAATTGTTTCAGAGGCCACAGAGGCTGCAGGCGATGCCCCCGAGATCCCAGGAGCTTGGAGTCGAGGGGAAAGGAGCAGGCGGCAAACCTCCAGGGGCCGCCATTCCCACCCTCCCCAGCGAGCGCAAGCAGAAGAGCGGGACAAGTCATCCAACGTGCAGCCGTGCCTCCTCCGTGCGCAAGCATGGATCTCCTCTGGGCCGTCATTTGGGGGTGCGATTCCAGCCCCCACATTCCTTGGAGCGCCTGTCGGACTTACTGGTCGTCGGTCTCAATGGTGCCGCCTCTCCGGGCCTCCCCTTGGATGGATTCCATCGCCGTGGAGTAGAGCGCCTTCTGGGCAGCAGGCCGCCGCGTGTCTGCCTGGGACGCCCCGTCCACGGCCGCCCGCTCCCGCTGCGCGAGGTCAATGTTGTGCACCGCCACGAGCAAGCTGTAATCCATGATCTTGAAGCTCTGCAAGACCTGCGGCATGGGGAGAAGCAGACACAAGAACACCGCCACCAAGTGAATAAGCTCGAAGGACGGCACCGAAGCGGCTCAACCTCCTCCGACCCGTTGCTGGCCAGGTGGGTGGGAATGCAATTCTCACCACCCCCGAAAGGGCCCTGGGAGTCGCAATCCCACAAGCCTGCGGGACCAGGCTGCAGAATTCCACCCTTCCATCTGCCTCATCTTAAGGCACTCTACGTTTCTCAGCCAAGACTGGCATGTATTATGTACGCCACCCGGAAGGCGCTCTGCAGAAAGTCAAGCTTGTCAGTTGTCTAAGGAGGCGCCTGTCTTTCCAGCCAAAGAAATGCCCAGCTGGGCCAGGCTGGAAGCTGCAGCCAAGCCTGGCTGGTGGGCACCCACTTGGGGGATGCGGCCCGCTCGGCCGGAGGGCCCAGCCTCTGGCCCCCGTGCGAGGGAAAGGCTCCCGGTTCCACTCCTACCAGGCAGTCTCTCTGGAGGGTCTTGCACAGGGCACTGTACATGTCAGCATCCAGGAAGAGGCCGTCGGGGAGCTCCTGCATGAAGTCCAGGTCCTTGTGAGTGGGGAAGGCCTTCTCGCGCTCCTTCTGGGAGGCCCGCCGCTTGTAGGTGGAGCCTTTCAGGTCGTACTTCTGGTGCATGCGCACCGAGCGCGGCAGCAGGTTGTTCATCACCACGATCCGGATGTTCTTGCCCCCAGCCTGCACGCAGTAGAGGCCGTAGAATTTGGGGAGCAGCGTCCGGGGGTTCTGATTCAAGTTCTGGGAGGAGGAGAGAGGGGCGGACAGGAGTTCTTAAAGCGAACCCTCCAGGGGAAGATATAAAAGTCTGACTCAGGTTCAGAATCAGATCCGACCCCAAAGTTGTCCCGAGCCATTGCTTCTGCCCCAAAGATGCCTGCTACCCACAGGCCCCTCTGTCTCCCTTAGATCTTCAGCCAACTGTACTGATGGGTAACTGGGCTTTGCGTGGGGGGGGGGGGGGGAGGATTATAGCTGTATCTTATTATTATTGGCATTATGTACCGTATTACTGATTGACATCATGTCCTGCTGATATTATTATATTAGGTATTATATTATTGTCCTAAGCTGTATTTTGATTTTGCATTGCTTACAGTTAAACATTGTTAAAAACTGCCTGACTGTATTGCTTGAAAATATCATTGTGTTTGTGTGGAATATGTTTTTTCTTGCTCTGTTGTAAGCTGTCCAGAGGGCCCCGTGGGCTAGGCAGCGGCATACAAACGTAGCAATAACCATCAGCTAAGGCAGAGCTGGAATGTCGAACAAAGAGGCTTCCAGCGTCTGCGCAGCCCAGGAATTCACTTACTTACTTATTTAGTCACAGGAAAACACAGTCCCGTTTTCGCACTGATTACTCATATTTCCACACTGAAGCTGCCTCTCCTCTGAACAGTATTTTTACATTGCTGTCCTTGCTTTTAAGTGACTGCTCCTGGCTTCACTGGGCTGCTGCTGCTGTTCTGAAATGTGCTTATACAGAAGTTAGAAGACACAGGCTGTGGAAAACTTGTGAAAAAGTCTCCAAGATGCCACCGTCGGCTCCGTCTGCCACTGCCATGATCAAAGGTGTGTGAGGAGGGGTAGAAATGCCATCACTTGAACTGACAGAAGAGCTTTCATTGTGATTTTCTGAGCCATTTTGCTTTTCTTTCTTTGTCCTTTTCTTTCTTTTTTAATTTCTGGTCATGATTGTAAAGCAGGCGAGATGCCGTTCTTGTTATGTACGTTGAGCATCAGCCACAAGCTCCCAGAAACAGATCTTCCAGGCATCTGGAGTTAACTGGGGTCTGAAGCAGCCAGAATGCCACCTGAGCTGGACATTGTTTCTTCTCCTGATGGCCTCTCATCGTCACACAACACATTCAAAGGAGACAAGGAGGGCGGGGAGACAACACTCGGTGGCTTTCAGCCATCCAAGCCACCTCCTTCCTCCCAGCTGACTCACCATGTAGTAACCGGGCAGCAGCTTCTGCAAGAACTCAGCCTCTTTGTGCTGAACCGTCTTGATTATGAACTCATCGTCGCTGGAGACATAGAAAATGGAGCCGCTGGCCCCAGAGTTGGACAGCTCAATGAGAGGCTCACTGCAGAGGGAGCACTGGGGAGAGAGACCGTGGGGAGGGATGACGGGCTGAGCTCCGAGGGGGACGCCCTTGTAGTCCGAGGCAGCCCAGGCGGGCGGAAGCGAAGCTCTCCGGGTGCCTGGGCCACCTACCGCCCCCACCCCTCCTCGCACAGCACGCCCACCCACCCGGAGAGCCATTTTCTGCCCACCACCCCGGTGCAGCTCCCCCGAACGCAGCTGCCGCGGCTCAGCACCTGGCAGGCCCACCAGGCCGCCTGCGAGGACCTCACGCCCTGCCAGCCCACCTGGCCGCAGCTCACCTGGCCCTGGCAAGAAGCACGTCCTTTAACAAGGCAGGGACCGGCTGCCGAGCCCACTCACCAAGTAATCGTCCGGTCGGATCCCAAACAGCTCGCGGAAATACCGGAAGGCGACAGGGGCGTAGGTCTTGAAGCGGAAATCGTTGTAGTGGTGAGCTGGCGTCAGGTTGCTGCCTTCGCTGGAGAGAGCAGAAAACAAGTAAGCCTCTCGGCCCCTTCCCCGGTGCCTATCTGCCACAGCTGCAGTCCTCGAACCCGCCAGCCTCAGGCACCAGGGCTGTGCTTTAACTCATCCGGCACAGGACCCCAGTGGCTCGGCCGCCGCACGGCTGCTCACTGCAGGAGGGTCCTGCCGGGTCCTCGGAAGCAGGTGTGAAGCACTCAGCCCCACATGACCTTCAGGTGCCCGGGGAGGCACCCCCACAGTCTCCCCGGAGTGCCTGCTGCTGGGCGACGGCCACAGCCACACAGCCCCCCAGCACTTCCCGGAGGACCCTCAGGACACCCCCACTTTGGAAACGACGCTCGGGGAGCGGGAAGGTGCCCTCTCGGCCTCCCTGCCACAAGGAGTGACCAGCAGAGCTTGCCTCTCCCCTCTTCCCTCGCCGCTGTCACACTTTGCCTAAGCCAGCTGAAAATCTGAGCACAGCTTTCCCCGGCTGGGGCTGAGGGCTGGCTGTGGAGCAGGGCGAGCGGCCGGAGGCCGCGGCAGGCAGGCGGTCTGCCTTGCCCAGTGCCGCCCGCTCCACCCAAGCGCCGCTCTCCAGGGCCCGGCACCGGCAACGGCTCCCCCGAGCACCAGAGGCCCTTCCACCAGAGATGCCGAGGACAGAGCTCTGCCCACCCCGCCACGCTGCTTAGGCTTAGGCCACCTGCCCCCACCCGGTCCGCTCGAGACAGAGGCCAGCCTCCTCCCTTTTCTCTTCCGTGCTGCTTCTTCCAGACTGTCGGGGCTTCCGGCCAAAGGGTGGGGGGCCATGCGCATCAACGCAGAGCGGACCCGAGGCGTGTAAAAGCTCACCTGGGGAAGAAGATGCTCTCCACCACGTAGAAATCCTGCATGAGGACGTCTCGCTCGGGCTTGGTGCTCAGGCTGCCAACCGTGTGGGTGATCCCCAGCTGGATCGCGCCTTTGAGGGCTGAAGAGGTCGTCTGGAGGGAAGGGGAAGTGAAGGCCCAGGGCTTAGTCATGTCTGCCTGGGGGGCTCCGGAAGGCTCTGCAGGTGGCACACACCTGCAGGCCCCTGCCTGCCTGCCTGCCTGCCTGCCTGCCGAGCTGCTCCGGCTGCCCCACAGATGCAGCTGAGCCCAGCAAGAGTTATCTCAGGGGAACAGTAATGTGACTGGGGAGGGCGGGGTGTGGGTGTGGGCGCCCTGCCAGGGTGGGACGTGGCCGGGAGGGGGCGAAGGGCCTCGCCCCAGCAGAGGGGCACTGGCAAGAGCCTCTCGGAGCTGCCCCTTCTCGCCAGCCTCCTCTAAAATAGTTTACATTTCATCCACATTTTATATATTGTTTCAGCGAGTTTTCATGCAATAATGCTGCGGCATGCAAAACAAAACTGCCACAACCTGCTCGTTCGCTGGCTGAGGACAAGGCTGGTGGTGGGTAGAAGGAGCTCAGCCTTGCAGGAAAGCTAAATGAAGGGGGGACGCACGTGGTCCAACGTAAGGAAAGCAGGCAAAGTCTGGCAGGAAGGAGGCCCTTCCTGTGCTCGGGCCGAGCGTGGCTCGCCATGTCTCCCTCTCTCACGGGGCCGTGTGTCTTGCACAATCTCCAGGCTACAAGACGCGCCACTGCCCCTCGGGGAAAAAGCATCTTCCCGGAGCCTGGAAATCCCCTCTCTCATTCCCTTCCGCATTCCCCTCCTGCTTCGCCACCCCCTCCAGCAAACCTCCCAGGAGGCAGGCTCCGGCGGCTTGGTGCCCGGGACTTTTCCCGCTCTGCCGGTGGGTGTCCCAGCCTGTGACTTCCTCCGCACCCTGCATTGTTTTCCCTCCACGGCAGAACAAAGCTGGGGTTTCACTTTTAATCTCTGGAGATAAAGATCCAAGGTGGAGGCCACGCCATCTCTGAAACTCATCAGTACGCGAGTAATTGTGAGGCCCGGCAAGCTCACCCAACCACTTCGTGTCACCAGGCGTGAGAGAATGGGGAGACAGAGAGGGCGCCCCAGGATCTCCTGCTTCATCAGGTCAGTAAAATGTAGTGCTGTGCACCCTGGAGGCTTTTTAATTATTGCTCATCTTAAAAAGCAAGTCTCTAGCCCTTATGAAGGTAAGCACAGCAGTGTGGCCGTCCCGCCTCAGAAAGCAGAGGGTGCTCCCGCCTGCTTTTCCTGTGGGTCGCAGGATGGTACTGGGCGGCCCACCTGTGTCAGTCCCAAGTCCCTCCTGCCTTCACTGCCAGCAGCCGTGCCAGCAGGCTGCCCGAGGCAGGGGCAGCGAGAGCGGGGTCATCCCACCAGCCCCGCGGAAAGGAACGGCTCTCGCCCTCGCCCTCTCCCCTTTTTCCTTTCCTATCATGCCTCTTTGGATTGTCTGCCGGCGGGCAGAGACTGTCTGGCTTTGCTGAGCAGCAGGCGTAAAAATACTTCAGGTGGTAATTATAATTGTCGTGAAACAACTTCTAACAACAACCAAGATAAACATAACAAATATTATCTGGGTGGCCTCCTGCGGCCCCTGCGTGGCTACCTTCAAATCCACGCTCAAATGTCACCTTTTCCCTGGAGTCGGGTCACTACCTCTTCCCTTCCAGGCCCCACGGGAACCACCAACTCGCTAGACGAAGCTACTCGCCCCTCGACGTCAGCCTTGCCCTCCCACCACAAAACTAAGATGCCCAGAAAACAAGCCTGCTCTACCTCACAGGGCTGCAGTGAAGGATCCTAGAGCCAATGCATGTGAGCACTGGACAGAGCTTCAAGGCGAACGGGAGGGGAAGCGATGTGTGGAAGCAAGAAACTGGCGTAATTTAGACTGGACATGGCAGAAGGCAGGCCTGACGCTACCGGTAGATTTCTGGGCAGCTCAGGAAGGATTTCTGACTGGTTGTTCTACATTAAATCGCAGGGGCCACATACTATCTCTACCGACCGCTCAAAATTATGCTGCTGAAATTAAGAAAGCTACCAGGAGATGGATTTTTATGGGGTGAGAGGATGGATTGTGAGTGTCTTCCAAGTTCTCATCCTCATGTCCCTTCTGATCTCGCATCAGAGGGACCATGGGCTTTGAGCGCCATTAAAGAGTCCCGTGAACCAGAAGTCTGCCCACTTCTGATCCAGGCCGTAGAGCTAAGAGTTCCCGGCACCAAGCAGACAGATTCTCACTTTTTCCCCCTAATGGGGCACTGAGCTAGGGACCCTCCGCGATGGGGCCGGAAGGAAAAGATCCCCAGGAAAAGTGGAAAGCCACCCCTTCCAAGCAGCACTCATCTGGTCCCTCCCTGAATCTACAAGCAGGTGCGTGGGCACAAGGTTTGCGTGACACCGAGCGGCCACGAAAGCCAAAAACATTGCAACAAGCCAACCCAGCGCCTTGGGGAAAGGAGGGCAGGACAGGCACTCAAAACAACACATCAAAAGGAAACAGGAAGTGGTGCGCACGCTCTGCCTAGCCCAGCGTCCCGGTGAAATTGCAGAGCCCCGCTCGGGAGCCAGGGCAGAGGAGACAAAAAGCAGAGGCTGCTTCCAGCGGGGGAGCCAGGCCCTTCTGCCCCAGGCACCGTGGGAAGAGGGCGGCCGAACCCCACGAAGGAGAAACAGGCTTACCCATGCTGGGCATTAAAGGAACGATATGAAGGGCCAAGTCAGCCTCTCCTGAACTTTGGTCGGCCCTCTCTCCTCGCCGGTTCCTCCCTCCCCACCGTCCGTGGGCAGCCCCAGGCACCCTCGAGGCACGCCCCCCCGCCACTCCGGACACACCGGCCACCGACAGCCCGGACACACCAAAGGCTGCTGCCACTTACGGAGAAGGAGGGCCTTCGAGAGGAAGGCATCGGGCGCCCATCCATTTCAGCCAGGCGGGAGGAGCAGGCCGGGGGGCGAGGCGAGCTGCAGCATAGCTGTTCGGCCCCAGCCTACGCTGGACCCCCGAAGCGCGTCGCGGTGCGAGCGCCCGCCCCGGGGAAAGGCACACGCCCAGCGCAACCGGCCTTAATCCACAGCAAGGCCCCGGCTGCGCTGCCGGCAGGCGAGGGGACACACCCCGAGAACGGGAGGGCCCCCGTCGCGACGCGGGGAGCAGCGTTCCGGCTGGTGCGTCGACGACGCCGGAGCCCTGTGCTCCGTCTGTCAAGGGTGGCCTGCAGCATCTGACGTTACCTGAATCAGCCAGGCCTTTTATGCTCGGCCATGACTCAGATAGCCAAGAATGCCGGGAATCTGCTGCAGGAGGGAGGAGGGAGCAGGCGGGAGACGCACACAGAGGCGGGAGAGGCGAACGAACGGCACTTGCCTTTTTATACGTGGTTTCGCCGGTGGCATCCACGCCCCGGTGGCCCTTCCTTATGGTCTGTGAAGAGTAGCCAGAGGAGCCTGGCACCTGGAACCGGAAGCAGAGGGGGAAAGCACAGGGATGGGTGTTTCGCTGCGTTACCCCCCGCCTGTGGGGCAACAGCATCGGCTGAATACAAGGCATTTCGTGAAGGCCGGGGGACAAACCTGGACCGGCGCTTCCAACCCAAGGCCCTCCCGAGGGGCTGGAGCCAACCCCTTTCTTTCCCAGCCGGCGAGGCTCGGTCGCGGCGGCTCTGCTTCACAACTGCACCACTACGGACTTCCACTTTGCGTGGAGCTCAGGTCCCACACGCCTGGCCAGCCTGCCCGGGCACGCGCTCTGGTCCCCTCCAACCCGCCCCAGGCCGTCCTCTTGCACCCGCGTGCGAGGACGTGCTCCCGTGCGCCGGGTTTCTAGCTTTCAGGGCCAGGAAAAAGGCTCAGGGAAATGGGAGAGGCCTCTGGAGGCTCAGGGCACACGCCGTGGTTTGTACGCAGGGGGTCCCACTGGTTCACAGCATTTCCCCAATACTGGGCTGGAAGGGCCACAGGTCTGATTCAGGAAAAGGCTCCTAGGCTCCTATTTAAAATTAGCCCTCAGTTCTAACCATGACTATATGCTTACTTTATGAATAAGAGAAGGGACACAGCTCAGCCGAGAGCCCCTGCTGAGCCTGCAAAAGGTCACAGGTTTGATTTCCAGGTAGGGCTAGAAAAACCCCTTCCTGAAGCCCAGGAGAAATTTGCTGCCAGCCGCGATCAACAGGATGGGGCCAGGCAGGCTGAGGGAGGGCAAGGACCACGCCGTGCCCGTTCTTCCTCGCGTGAAGGCCAGTGGTGGTGCTTGCGGGCAGCTCCCTGGGGGGCCATGAGCCCCCCTCTCCCATGTGATCCTCAGCGGCCATTGGCTGGGGAGGTGGAGCCAAGTGGGAGGCAGTGCCCCATCCAGGAACGTGCCGCCTCCAGCCTTGCCCACTCCCAGATCTGGGGCAGGGGCCGCTGGAAGGAGCTCGAGGGGTGGTGGTGGTGTTGTGCTGTTTAACTTCCAGTCTCATCATCCCCAGTCAGCATGGCCCAAAGGCAGGGAGGATGGGTGTTTAGCTCAGAACAAAGGGAAGGTCGTGTGGCAACGAGCCAGGCACTCTGGGCTCTGCCCGCCGCGAGCGGCGATGCTGCTGCTGGAGAAGCACGGCCAGCAGCGGTGGCAGCTCAGCGCCAGGCCCACGCAGAGCATCTTTGCTCCCCTACACCCAGGTACTGCTCCAGGCTCGAATGGCCAGCTCGCAGAGCGCCGAGACCTGGACGGGGGCTCTCCTGGCTCAAAAGCACCTCCCGAGCCTGGGTGTTTAGCGGACTGTTTATCTGCATGCTCTCGACTGTGCCGGAGGCTGGTTCATGGTACGCGAGGCTGTGCGGTTCGGGCATTTGCACCTGGCTGAATCACCAAGGAGGACGGTGTTTACGCCACGCTGGGAGAGAAATCCGCGTTTTGTTTGCAGAAAGCATTACTGGAGTGCATTCCCAGGCTGACACTTCTTCTGTTTGACTTGCAGATGGGATAAGGCGTGTGTGGAATCAAACCCTTGCCTTAAAAATACCTGGCTTACCTCTGGGAACAAAATTATCGACCAGCTTACAAGGGCCCCTAAGCACTGAATGGGCTTCTCATGGCATGTCACAAATTGAAATCGATTAACCTGCCCACCTCCAGGCTTGAAGTCCCGAACCCACACAGGCGGTCTTTTCCCCACCAGATTTCTGCCTTGAGCTTTTCCAGAAGCAGGTACTTACCTCAAGTGATTTTTTAAACGTGGCTGTTCCTGGTGCCCCTGCCAAAGAGAGCGGGGGGGGGGAGGAAAAAGTGGGAGGGGGGAAGGGAGAAGGGAGATGAAAAGTGTTGCCATTGAACAAATGATCTTCAGGTCGTCCCAATTACCCTGCACAGTCAAGAAGTTCGCTCGGTCGCCCTGAGCCAGGGCGGGTCTGCCCAATTCCCCCAGCAGGAAATGTCTGGGGGGAGTGCGGGAAGGGGGGAGGACGCCACGAGGCATGTCACCGCTCCGAGTCCCTTGGAAGAACCGAAGGGCAGGAACAAAATAAAGAAGGAAGAGCTCCAGCGGGGGACTCAGACTGGGTTTGTTCAAAGCAGGCAAAAGCTGCACCTGGGGACTGCAAACTTCGGGGTCTCCCGAGGCGGCCATCCCCTTCCCCTTGACGGTGCCCGTTCGGTGGCATCCCTGCTGGGGCAGGCTCTCTCCCATTCCAAAATGCTGAAATGCCCCTCCCGAGGCTTCATACCTGGCAGGAGGAGCTGGAAGGGAAAGCGGACTGGCATTTTGGGTCTGTGGGCCCTGCCGCCTTCCCCTCGTCCGCGCACATCACTGGAATGTGTGCCCACCACCCCAAGAGCACCTCCAACTCAGAAGGTGGCCCCTGGAGTGAAAGAGGTTCGACACCCCGTCTTAAATAGCCACACTGAACACCAGCTTCTGGAGCACCCGCGAACAAACCAGCATCCCCCCGTCACGGGGCAGGGGCTCCTGAAAGGCTCTTCCGGCGGTTTTGGGCAATGAGTCGAGCCCACCGGCAGGCTCCAGCCTCGATCTGGCGCCCTTGGGCCTGGGCCTTGCTTCACGGCCCTGGCCTGCCACGGTGTGGCTGCCCCCGCAGCCCTTGGAAAGCGCACAGCCTTGGAGCGGCCTCACTGCTTTCACTGGGCAGCCGATCCTCCAGCTCCCACTCAGAGGCACCTGTCAAATGCAGCTGCTTTCACCTGTGGGCGCCCCAAAGACCGCCGACTCTGGTCTTAACCTGTGTACTCTGCAGATGGTTTGCAAAGTATCAGGGAAAGGTGGGCGGCAGAACCGTAACTAACACCCTCTTTCCTCGCGGGTTGGTCGCAACAGGTTCTGACATTACTTCTCAAGGGTTTAATGATACTCCCAGATTGCTCGTCCCTCCCTGTCGGTTTCATGCTCCCAGGCAAGACGGAACGACGCGCTGCCAGGCTGCCGAGCATGTGCCAGCAGGCAGCTACGCGTGCCGAGCTCTCGGTCACTGGGCGAGATCCCAGCACGGGAGAGAGGAGCCATCTTGCCCAGGCAGGAGAAAGCCGGGCCCGATCGCTGGCTTGTTTGCGGCCTTTTATGCAGCCTGGGGGCTCAAGGGAGCCAAGCGAGTTCTCCCGACTTCGCACTGCTGTGAAGAACACCCTGAGCTAGCACTGGCTCTGACGGTAGGAAAGAGAGACGGAGAGCACGGGAACGGCCCCACTGCCGGACCAAAGGTCCACAACGCGCCAGCACCCTGCTCCAAGCAGCCATGCTAAGGACCTAAGAAGGGCCATGATGGATCAGGCCCGTGGCCCATCCACTCCAGCCCTCTGTTCACACGGTGGCCCACCAGCGGTTAACGGGAGAATGTGGGTCTGAACTGTTTTAGAACCCTTTTACACCGCTTTATTTTTCATTTTCTGAACATTGCTTCCTTCAAGGCAGCCTACAAAAAGTGAAAATAAACACACTGGGTTTTATTTGTTTACGTGTAGCGCACATGTTGGCCCCAGACCCTCCTCCACGGTTCGGCTCTGCTCCTCAGAGCAGGGCTCCACCCAGAAACAGAACAAGTCCCCTGTGACCAAGCGCTGAGACCGGACGGTGTTGTTTCGGGGTCAGCCATGGTGCGTGTGCACACACGTGAGGCTCATGCTTTGCACAACTTCTCTTTGTTTGAGAACAGGAAGGGAGGAGAAGCGAGGCTGGAGCAACTTCCCTGCAATGGAAAGTTACAACATTTGCACGTCTCTAGCTCAGAAAAAAAGAAAAAAAAAAAAAGGAGTGGGAACTTGAGCAAGGTGCACGAAGCTTGCACAGTGTGGAGAAAGTAGGGACAGATTGGATTTTCCTTCCTCTAACACCACACTAGAACTCGAGGAAGCCGTTTGATGGAAATCCAGGAGAGAAAAACGGGCTTCTTCACACGGCTTATGCTCACTGTGCAAATTGCTGCTACAAGGTGTAGAACGGCTGCCCATGTGCACGGCTTTAAAAGGGGGCCGGGCACATTTGCGCAAGATCAAGACTATCGAGGGCTACTCCTTGCTGGCCATGCGCTCTACCCAGAGGCGAGATGCGGTGCAGGCCACTTCCGGGGAACTCTGTGCCAAGCCCAGGAGCTGCAGGGAGGGCACGGGGAGGCGTCCAGGCCGTCAACAGATGTGACAAGTCTAAAGACCTTATGGACTCCACAGAGGCCACGTCTGGAAACATCAGTTCCCGTCAGCGGTGGCAGCATCCTTCATCCTACAAGAAGATGTGTGTGTGGTGTCGTGGTTAAGAGCATGGGACTGGGACTCAGACAATCCGGGTTCGAGTCCCCGCTCAGCCATGGAGCCAACTGGGTGACTTTGGGCCAGTCACAGACTCTCGGCCCAACCTACCTCACAGGGTGGTTGTTGTGGGGATAAGATGGAGGAGGAGAATGATGTAAGCTGCCTTGAGCCCTTTGTAGGAAAAAGGCAGGATATAAATCGAAAAATAAATAAATCGAAAAATTGAAAAATAAGATGCAGCGAAGCCAAAAGGTGATGCAAATTACCCGATGGGGAACACAGACTGTGTGAAGAAGTCCAGCTACTGAATGGGACACTGTCCCGGCCAATTCAAGCAAGCTTAATTGCAGGCGTGACGAGTATTCACAGCAGAGAGCTTGGAACGCACACCTTAGGGGCGGGTGACTGAGCCCTTGGCCTTGCTTCAGACCCGGCTCCATCCCATTTCACTCTGAAGGCCGCCTGCCAGTCCCACACGGTGCATCTGCTATGCCCACAGCAAAATGGAAGTGAAATG